CCTCCTAGGCACCCAGCACCGTTCCTCCGGACCGTACCCCTCCCACTCCACGAGATATTGTAGACCCCCCATCCGACGTCTCGAATCCACGATGGACCGGACTGAGTACGCCGTTCTCTCAATTGTCTTTGGCAGAGTCAGAGGTTTTTAATCCATTAGTAACTTTATTCTTAGTACGTCAGAGGTCACTGATAAGAAAGTTTTAAAATCGCAAATTCTCCGTCTTTCAAAAATACTTTTGAAATGAGTGAGGAGTATGGGGATTTCACACTTCAGGTCAAATGCAAACCTCGGATTCATTTTAGTCATTAGACATGCATTGCGTTAGATGTCAGATGTACAGAAAGTTATTCTTTCTTCAGATATTTCATTCTTTGAACATCAGAACATGATTCAAATGTGTCCTCAAGTATGTCCTCAACAGTAGTACATCAATATTAGACTGCTGATTTTCATTCTTCCCCTAATTTAGTCATGACACAATATACGTGTGCTCGATGACACTGACCAAACAATTAACTAGTAATGAAAAAGGAAATCAACACTACAGAACTTGAGGACGTGATTTGAATACCCTTGATATCTTAATATTCCCATGAAATCTAATCATTTCCTTTATGCCTGATTATAATTCCCCTCAGATATAAATGATATTTTTCTGATGATATCCACTTTACTGTATCCTGTATCAAACATTGTCCCTTATCCCTTTACAAATGTCCTTCTCTCTCTTTCTGGAGCCTCCCAGTCAGCCTCTGACATGAGGCCCCAGTTCAATCGATTGCAGCGTCACTTTGTTTCTCTGTGGCCGTTTGTAACGGTGTTAAGATTGTGCCATAACCTCATTCCACATCTTGAAATGTCTCCACTAGTGCTATAGAATTGGTGGCGTAATGGGCAAAGACATTGTCAAGCAGGCGGTCACGTGTTTGCGACGCAGAGGGTCCCTGGTTTGAGCCTTTGTAAGGACAGTGTGCCCAGACAGGGAAGGAAGCGAAACTGCAAAGCAAGCACAAGTCACGTGTCTCTACTGTACATAGGCAGTGATTGACATGATGCTCTCCTATGTCTCTCTTTTTTTTATTAGTTCACTGTTGATACAGTCCCAAAATGTTTTGCATGTCAGCAGTCAAGTTATCAAGATATTGGACTTTCAAGAAGCAAAGTGTAACCGGCCACCGGCATTTCGCATCATCATGATGATGTGGCGGCCGGTGACACTTTGCTTCTTGAAAGTCCAATATCTTGCCTATGCATTTTGGTACTGTACAGTGGGTAATGAAGAAAAATATAGTTTGTGAGTGGATTTTCCCTTTAAGTAATGCTAGTTCTACAACAACAATGTTGTCCAAATTCCTTGTTGTAATTTATTGTGTATGACACGTGGATGTGTGTCAGACACAGGAGGCTGCTGAGGGGAGGACAGCTCGTAATAATGGCTTGAACGGAGTGAATGGAATGTCATCAAACACATGGAAACCATGTGTTGGATGTATTTGATACCATTCCACTAATTCCGGTCCAGCCATTACCACGAGTCAGTCCTCCCCAATTAAGGTGCCACCAACCTCCTGTGGAGTTAGACAATCATATCTTCTTCCCTCTGTCTCTTCCTCCTCCAGTGCTGGGGGTTGTTCCAGAGCCGTGCCAGTGCAGAGACCTTGAGCTGGACTGTGATGGCGCCCAGTTTCATCATGTCCCAGCAGTGTCCATTAACGTCACCATGATGTGAGTTGACACACACACACCTTTGAGTAGTTCATAAATAATATACACATATTGACACTCACTCACATACACACACACACACATACACACACACCTGATAGCCTCCCTCGTTGAGAGCCCTGGCTCCGTAGGCGATTCTGTTCCCTCCCTCCAGGGTCTTGGCAACGAAGTGGGGGGTGCTTCTAGCGCTGGAACTCTCTGAAAGGGCTGAGACATTTGCATCTGACTGGAAGTGTGTAGACTTTTTTCTGTTTCTCCTATGAATTAGAAGAGAAAAAGGATTTAAACAAAGTGTCTCTCGCAGTTAGCTAATGAGTGTCTCGATGGAAGTTGGTTTGTGGAGGTTGGTTTAAGTCCTAGGGCTGTTCTCTGCTGTACTGGAACAGTCTTTTTCAGAATTGAAGGAGGAAAACGAGACTTGAATCTCTTTACTGAAGCCTACTAAAGCCTACTGAAGCCTACTGCAGGCTACTGAAATCTCTTTACTGAAGCCTACTGGAATCTCTTTACTGAAGCCTACTAAAGCCTACTGAAGCCTACTGGAATCTCTTTACTGAAGCCTACTCTGCCTACTGGAATCTATTTACTGAAGCCTACTAAAGCCTACTGGAATCTCTTTACTGAAGCCTACTAAAACCTACTGGAATCTCTTTACTGAAGCCTACTAAAGCCTACTGGAATCTCTTTACTGAAACCTACTGAAGCCTACTGGAATCTATTTATTGAAGCCTACTAAAGCCTACTGGAATCTCTTTACTGAAGCCTACTAAAACCTACTGGAATCTCTTTACTGAAGCTTACTAAAGCCTACTGGAATCTCTTTACTGAAGCCTACTGAAGCCTACTGGAATCACTCTACTGAAGCCTACTAAAGTCTACTGGAATATCTTTACTGAAGCCTACTAAAACCTACTGGAATCTCTTTACTGAAGCCTACTGAAGCCTACTGGAATCTATTTATTGAAGCCTACTAAAGCCTACTGGAATATCTTTACTGAAGCCTACTAAAACCTACTGGAATCTCTTTACTGAAGCCTACTAAAGCCTACTGGAATATCTTTACTGAAGTCTACTGAAGCCTACTGGAATCTCGTTACTGAAGCCTACTAAAGTCTACTGGAATCTCTTTACTGAAGCCTACTAAAACCTACTGGAATCTCTTTACTGAAGCCTACTAAAGACTACTGGAATCTCTTTACTGAAGCCTACTGAAGCCTACTGGAATCTCTTTACTGAAGCCTACTAAAGCCTACTGGAATCTCTTTACTGAAGCCTACTAAAATCTACTGAAGCCTACCAAAGCCTACTGGAATCTCTTTACTGAAGCCTACTGAAGCCTACTAAAGCCTACTGGAATCTCTTTACTGAAGCCTAATAAAGCCTACTGAATCCGACTGAAGGCCACTGGAATCTCTTTACTGAAGCCTACTGGAATATTCTTACTGAAGCCTAATAAAGGCTACTGGAATCTCTTTACTGAAGCCTACTGAAGCCTAGTAAAGCCTACTGGAATATCCTTACTGAAGCCTAATAAAGGCTACTGGAATCTCTTTACTGAAGCCTACTAAAGCCTTCTGAAGTGTACCGAAGCCTACTGGAATCTCTTTACTGAAGCCTAGTAAAGCCTACTGGAATCTCTTTACTAAAGCCTACTGAAGCCTACTGGAATCTCTTTATTGAAGCCTACTAAAGTCTACTGGAATCTCTTTACTGAAGCCTACTAAAGCCTACTGGAATCTCTTTACTGAAGCCTACTGAAGCCTACTGGAATCTCTTTACTGAAGCCTACTGACGCCTACTGGAATCTCTTTACTGAAGCCTACTAAAGCCTACTGAAGCCTACTGGAATCTCTTTACTGAAGCCTACTAAAGCCTACTGGAATCTCTTTATTGAAGCCTACTAAAGCCTACTGGAATCTCTTTACTGAAGCCTACTAAGGCCTACTGGAATCTCTTTACTGAAGCCTACTAAAGCCTACTGTAATCTATTTACTGAAGCCTACTAAAGTCTACTGGAATCTATTTACTGAAGACTACTAAAGCCTGCTGGAATCTCTTTACTGAAGCCTACTAAAGCCTACTGGAATCTCTTTACTGAAGCCTACTAAAGCCTATTGGAATCTCTTTACTGAAGCCTACTGAAGCCTACTGGAATCTCTTTACTGAAGCCTACTAAAACCTACTGGAATCTCTTTACTGAAGCCTACTGAAGCCTACTGGAATCTCTTTACTGAAGCCTACTAAAACCTACTGGAATCTCTTTACTGAAGCCTACTGAAGCCTACTGGAATCTCTTTACTGAAGCCTACTAAAACCTACTGGAATCTCTTTACTGAAGCCTACTGAAGCCTACTGGAATCTCTTTACTGAAGCCTACTAAAACCTACTTGAATGTGAGACAGACTGAAGGTAAGGATATGATTATAGCAAAATGCATTTATAACAGGATGATGTATAATATACATTATCATTTAAATTCATACATTATGCAAAAGAATGACAACAATGGCTATAAATTATCACATAGAGCTCGCCCTTTCTCGGTCTCACAATATTGTATGTCTCCCTGTCATATTGGCCCCATATTGTTTAGATAATGGCACATTTGGGCCCCATGTTTCTCATCTTTCCCATTGGGGACATCCAGTTCCACTTTACTATTCATCCACAAATCAATGTATTGTTTGTTTGCTTGATGGGTAAACCTCGAAGGCCCAATTTGCAGGCGGAGTAATTCAATTGTGTCAATTGTTTATCATCGCCGCCTCTTCCTTCTCCAATTGGCTCGGCTTTCATCAAGGTGCTGGAGACTACTGCAGCATCCTCCACATTGTTCATTTTCAATTAAAATGCTTTCTTCGCTAATTCAAAGCTTATCTCCGTAACTTCGGGTAAACATAGCCATAGTGCTTATGGAGGTGGAATGAGCTTAGATAACGATTCAACTACAAATGTCAAAATTATGCATTATCTCTGTCACTCCATAAAGAAAGATGCTCCTCTTCTGTTTGGAATAATGATGTGTTCTTTCACCAGTTCCATTTGAAACATAATTGGGAGATTGTTTGTATTCGGGACAATGTGTGGTCACATAGAAATGTGATTCGTTCTAACCTCAAACAGACACTGGACCGAGAACATAGTAATTAAAATGAATCAAAGGTTTTGGCCTTTTTTAATTGAAACAGTATTGTTTGGTGGCACAATGTTGTGTTTATGACGTTTATTTTTTGTTACCTGGTCAACCTTATGAACTATTCACATCCCACAGGTCCCTGCAAAGGAACCGACTCCGGATATTGAACGGCGACATATTCTATAAGTACCAGAGTCTTCAGAAACTGTAAGTTGTGAATTGATTTTAAAAAATGTATTCAGGCAAGAGAAGTCACTTGGTTGAGTTGTAGTCTGCTAGTAAAGCATTCGTCGTTCAGAAAAAAAGATTGTTAGCACTTCAAAATCAGGCACTGATAGACCAACCTGTCAAGTCCACTGTGACAGACATGGACATCATTCGACGCATTGTTCGTCCCCTTTTGATGCTTCTGGTGGCCAAAACAAGCTTACAATGGATGTTTTATCAAGACTCACCTTTGGATGATGGTTGTGAGGAAAGCGGGCTTTTTCACGATTGTTCAGCACATCATTCAGTCTATCTTGTTGTGCCTGAAACATATTGGCAGCATGGAAGTAGTAGCGCGATGAGGAGACTAAATATGTGCCTCATTGACTGCCAAGAACTATCTATCGAATAAGTCAGCTATGTAGTATTGTTTGGGTAATCTTTCATTCAAGCATTGCTTGCAATTTTCGTCTTCTTCTAAAGAACTGTTATCAAACCAAATATCATAAAAGTATGTACCAATTGGTATTTTTATTTTGTTATTCTACAGGGAGCCGTTTATATTTAGGTCTTTATGTATAAAATAACAAGACAGTTGATGCTATGGTTCAACTGTAAGTTCTATTGAAAAACCCTTAATTTGATGAAATCTGCTGTCAGCTGCTTATAAAACCATGCCAAAATCCTCATCTCGCTTGCCAAAAAGATTCCTCAACACTGTAAACATTGCCTGTCTGTTCTATTTAGCAGTATTGCAAGCTAAATTGGAACCGCTTTATAAGACACCTGATATAAAATACCATTTTGCGCGGGTTGATCACTCAGTGATCTAAATTTCCTCTGACATGCAGTTCATGTTATAAATGTGAGGCTTCTGTCCTTATTGTAACTTGTTGTAACTTGTTGTAACATGTTATAACTTGTTATAACTTGTTGTAACTTGTTAGCCATTGTGGAAGTTGTTCTCCTCAACACACAAATTGTATGAATGTTTGTAGCATACTTCTTCTGACATACTACTTTTCAGATATCTACAACATAACAGAATCCGAGCTGTGAGCCCTAATGCATTCAGAGGACTGTACAATCTAACAAGACTGTAAGTTCATTATATTCATCCATCCGCGCACTTGACAGTGTTATATTGAACTTTGATCAAACATCTAAGTCCTTCATAATGAATGTTGTTGATTTAAGTTTTCCTTATCAAAGTTGCTTATGTTTGAAATGAAGGGTAAGTAATTCATATCAATTGTTTCATTGAACCGTGCGTATTTAAAATCAGTATTTTCTGCCTCAGATATTTAAGCTACAACAAGATATCCATCCTGATGCCTGGGGTGTTCCAAGATCTACACAAACTGGAGTGGTTGTAGGTTTTCCTTACTGGCACATTCTGTATATCCTGTGTGCCTATATAGACATACTGCTAACATAAATGGAACAAAGACATCATATTTTTAGACAGCCTTCAGAACTCTTTCACAAAGCTTGTATCGCTGCAGTTTCCTTTGAACCAATGTTGAGCCAAATACTTCAGTTAATAAAAGAGCTGAAAATAAACTCTACCCTCTGGTTGTAGGATCCTTGAAAACAACAGTATCCATCAGATATCCCACACCACCTTTTCAGGCTTGCGCTCCTTGGTACTCCTGTGAGTTTCATTTCTACCTTTACTTTCTTGAGTTGGGCTTGTTTTGCTTTTACCGTCTAAGAAGTTATTTCATATGCACTTTATTGAAGTGCCCCAGTATTTTTAAGGGACGATTTGATATGCTTACGTATATTGGCGGAGTGTTGTTTTCTTTGATCGGCACAAAAATCAGACCGCTCTTGTTTTGTTGTTTTTGTTCGCAGGGTTTTGTTGAACAACGCTCTGACAAAGCTAGATGACATCTGCCTGGAAATGCCAAGACTAAACTGGCTGTACGTTTGGAAGTCAGCAAATCAAAGAGCTTTGTTATCGGCATGATATGACTTTTAAATATGTTTTTGTGCACTTGTGTGTCTCCAGGGACATGGAGGGGAATCAAATCGAAAGTGTTGGAAATGTAACATTCTGGTCGTGCAACATGATGACTGTGCTGTAAGTGTGACTTAATACGTTTCAATCTTCAGAATAGATTATGTTTTCCCCATCTGTGTCCTTGGCTTTCTCAGCAGGCTATAACCCATTAGAATCCCAAATATCAACAGCAATTTGTTTCCACAAGGGGTTCTAAATATTAGACCCAAAAACAACACTCTTGTTTAATTGCTTTTAGAACCAACATAGAAGATGAGGGGAATAAAGTGAGAAAATTGCTTTCTCTGTTTTATAATTCTTGTTTTGACTGTCTTTCTTCAACTCTTTCTAGTGTCCTACAGAGTAACAGAATCAGTCACATACATGAACAGGCTTTTTCATTTCTACAAAAACTTGGGGAATTGTAAGTTATGTTTTGTTTGCCTCAGACATGAAATTGCATGACATCTTCCTTTATCACCCAGACACACAGTGGTGCTGCACATCTTCATCTATTCCACTGACTTTTTGAAGAATTTAGATAATACCATATTATCAGTATAGACTGCACTATAAATATACAGTGCAGTACTAGGATGAAATTCATTGCAACCCAAAATGAGCCCGAATAGGAAAACAACATCTTCCCAGGCCAAGAAGATGTTCATTATGATTTATATTTTATAAGTTTTGGTTAATCCTAGCATTTATCCTAACATGCTTTTCCACTGGTTTCCGGATTTGCAGAACAGTGGGGAGTCTTGGAGTGTCTCCAATATACGCCTAAACATAACCATGTTAGTCATGGTGAACACAAAGATGTGGTGCATCTAGCTTAACACGATGCTTATCAAGTAGGCTAATGGATTCCAGGAATGTATCATTAAAGTGAATAGGAACACAGCATGCATGCATGATTAGGTGGTCATGTAAGCCATGTAAACCTTATGTAAGTTTCATATGTTTGTTTCCAATAAATAGCTTTGTCTTCACAGAGATCTGTCCAGCAACAGACTCCTGGCAATCCCTCCCAATCTCTTTGTTCATCTGGGAGATTTACTGCAGCTGTGAGTCAGATCCACACTCGAATCTATGCACAAATGTTCTTTGAATATTTTATATGCTTTTCTTGCACTAACGTTGAAAGACATACACATAGGAATTATAATACAGCTATGGTGCTATAGTTCTTGTTGAATATTATGTCAAATAATGTATGCTTTTACAGGAACATCTCGTATAACCCTATCGTGGATCTGCAAGTTGACCACTTTGATAACTTGCATAAATTGAAATCATTGTAAGTAGCCTGTATGTTTTTCACTGCTCACTTTGTGAATGAATGTTACAATTGAGAGGGGAAAGCATTAGTAGTAATACCATGTTTAGAAAAAAAATCTAGTTTTGGTAAATATGCAAGGGGCCATTTTAAATGAAATCTACATAATCCTTTCTTTTTTTTTTATAACAATTTTGCAATCACAAGCATATAATAAAGGGAATGTGTGTAGAGGTAGTACATTCTCTCTCTACATCCCATTATGTGGCCCTTTCAGACTAACTAGAAATCCATGATCTATTTAACTTATTCCAATTCCATATACTGTATAATCATAGATTGCATCATCTCCTGATGATGCACTTTTCCAATTTGCATCCTATCATACAAGAGAATTATGTGGCACATAACATGTAATTATTGTATTATGTGTTCAATGTATTATCCTATTGGAACAGAGTGCACTTACTGGCCCACACATTGAGAATTCCCTCATTCACACATATCAAGAAAGAAAACAAATAGCATTTTAGGTCATACATCAAAGCTTTTCATCAAAAGCACTTTGTGAAAGACCAACAATTTTGTGGAAAGAACATTGAAAAGAGGGCCTCTGAAATTCAAATATTTTGTTTTGTTTGTTTTTCTATGTAAGCTCCTAAGGGGAACAACTTTTGTTTGTGTTTTTTAGGAGCATAGAGGGAATCGAGATTGGAAACATACAAAGAAGGATGTTTGAACCACTCAAACACTTGACCCACATGTGAGTACTTTGTTCATTTTGTTTCATCATAAAAATTCGGGAAATGTATTTGAAGATGAATCCCAAATTAAACTTTGAACAAAATCCTTTGCACTTTTTTATTGACTGATTTGAGATTAATGTTGTCGTAAGTTATTTAAAAAGCATTTGTACCTCTTTTTTTCTGGAAGAAAATACAAAATACTTACTTTCCCATACACACTTTCTATTGCAAACAATTCTTAGTCAATCTGGCCCCTTATCTAAAGGTTGAATGTCAACTTCCAACTGTGTGATCCCAAGCTGTGCATTAAATCACATACAGTGCCTCCAGAAAGTATTCACACCCCTTGACTTTCCACATTTTGTTGTTACAGCCTTAATTTTAAATTCATTAAATGTGTCACTGCCTACACACAATACCCCATAATATCAAAGTGGAATTATATTTTTCATTTTTTTTATGAAAAGCTGAAATGTCTTGAGTCAATAAGTATTCAACCCCTTAGTTATGTCAAGCATAAATAAGTTCAGGAGTAGAAATGTGCTTAACAAGTCACAATAAGTTTCATGGACTTTACTCTGTGAGCAATAATAGTGTTTAACATGGTTTTTGAATGACTACCTAATCTCTGTACCCCACACATACAATTATCTGTAAAGTCCCTCAGTCGAGCAGTGAATTTCAAAAACAGATTCAACCACAAAAACCAGGGAGGTTTTCCAATGCCTCGTAAAGAAGGGCACCTATTGGTAGGGCACCCTCCGGCACTCTGATTCACCGGTCTACTTATCCACCGGTCTGAGCGCACCACCTCGGCAACACCGGAATGGAAACCCAACGCACCCTAATCACCTCCAGCGCACCTGCACCTCATCATCTCATCACCACCCCTATATAGCCCTGGACTGTTCAGTGTTGTGTTGTGTGTGATTGTTAGTGTCATGTCGTGTACTCACTCTTTGTTGTTCTCTTGCTCAGTGTTAAGTAAACCTTTACATTGTTGATTCCTGCGTCTGCGTTCTACCTCTTCGTATCCTCAGTACTCATCACAGAATCACACACCTCACGAAGATGGATGCAGTAGGTAATCCTCCAAACGCTGCATAAACTGACCATCGCGCCGGTTCCACCTCAGGGAGTGACGAGTGCACCTAGTCCACCTCCTCCCGTGCTATCACCAACGTCTGAGGGACCCCCTCGCCCTGCCAGAGCGCTATGACGGGAAAACAGCGAAATGTAGAGGCTTCCTGCTACAGGTTTCACTGTATCTGACGCGTCAGCGTGGGTCATCTCCATCGGACCAAGCCAGGATAGCGCTGGTGATTTCGCTACTGGGCCACGGCAGTCTGGGAAGGAGGTGAGGCCGTGGGGCTTCCCTACTCCACCTTCCTCGATCGGTTCAGGGCGGTGTTCGATCATCCCACGGAGGGAAAGGACGGGGGTGAGCGTCTCCTCCGGCTACAACAGGGAGAGGAGGCCGCGTTCGAGTACGCTCTGAGCTTTCGCACAGTGGTGGCGTCTTCCGGCTGGAATGAGCACGCTCTGCGCACGGCCTTCAGGAGAGGCTTACGGGCGGACATCACGACGGATCTCGCATGTCGGGACGACGAGATGGACCTTGATACCCTCATCGCCACGTCCATTCGTCTTGACGACATGTTGAGAGACCGACGGCGTTCCCAACACCACCCGGAACCTCGACGCTCACCCCATCTGAGCTATGGAAGCCGCCCTGCCTCCGAGTCCACACCCATGGATGTGGGCAGCACCCCCTACACAACCACGGACCACAGATCTCCTGGCGGCTCCCTATCTAGGCGGTATGACTCCCGTTGCCGCTCCGTGAGTGTTCCGTCATCACCTGTCACCAAACCATTGTTTTTAGTTCCCCTAACGGTGAATGGTTCTTCCTTCTCTTCGCTTTCCACGGCAATGATAGATTCCGGATCAGCTGGGAACCTTATTGATAGGGAGCTGGTCTCTGAATGGGGGTTGCCCACCGTGCCACTGCCTTTTCCGTTACACGTCACCTCGCTGGACAATAAACCACTTGGATCAGGCACCATTACGCACGTCACTCTCCCCACACCATCACCATTCTCACACTACCGGAGCACCACGAGGAGCTGTCCTTCCACATCGTCACGTCACCCCTTCACGGGATCATCTTGGGATTGCCCTGGCTCAGACTACACAACCCAACCATCAATTGGATCACCAAGAGGATCACAGCCTGGTCCCCCTCATGCCAGAGGACCTGCCTGCTGGTGGTTTGTTGTTCCACATCAGTGGAGAGTCCGGGGTCTGCCCTCCAGTCCAACATTCCACGTGAGTACGCAGATCTCTCTGATGTCTTCTCTGCCTCCAAGGCTAAGTGTCTCCCTACTCACATGGCCTGGGACTGCGCCATTGACCTGCTGGAGGGACAACACCCCCTGAAGAGTCACATTTACTCCCTTTCCATAGCGGAGACTGAGGTCATGGAGAAGTATGTGGCAGAGACCCTGAAACAGGGTATGTGCTCCATATTTTCACTGGCTGGAGGGCCAGCATCCATTCCGGATTCTCACTGACCACCGGAATTTGGAGCACATACGGGCAGCGAAACGGATGAACTCTTGTCAAGCCAGATGGGCCCAATTTCTTACTCGCTTTCAGTTTATTCTGTCCTACCACCCAGGATCCCAGAATGTGAAAGCCGACACACTCTCCAGGATGCACCATACCGGATCTGGGGGGTCCTATCCTGCCTCCGTCTCTCATTGTGGCACCTGTCATTTGGGATGTGGACGAAGACATCCGCCTTGCGGCTCAGGAGGACCCAGCGCCTACCAGGATCCGTGACCGCCTGCTGATCTGGGCGCACACCACCCTTACGGCAGGGCACTCCAGTATGACGCGCATCCTACATTCTCTCTCACAAAAATACTGGTGGCCCACCTTGGCTACTGATGTCTCCCGCTATATCAACTCCTGTTCCATGTGTGCCCAAACAAAGACACCTCGGAACGCCCCGGCAGGCAAACTAGTTCCTCTCCCAGTGCCTCAGCGACCTTGGTCACACCTGTCCATAGACTTTGTCACCGACCTCCCACGTTCTGATGGCTTTACCACAGTCCTGGTAGTCGTAGATCGGTTCTCCAAATCATGCCGTTTTTTGCCACTAACCCAACGCACCCTAATAACCAACAGCGCACCTGCACCTCATCATCTCATCACCACCCCTATATAGCCCTGGACTGTTCAGTGTTGTGTTGTGTGTGATTGTTAGTGTCATGTCATGTACTCGCTCGTTGTTGTTCTCTTGCTCAGTGTTAAGTAAACCTTTGCATTGTTGATTCCTGCGTCTGCGTCCTACCTCTTCGTATCCTCAGTGCTTTTTTTTTCTGTCTTCCCTTGTGATTTTACCCACACACCGCTACTGATGGCAAAGCAATTAACTTTTGTCCTGAATACAAAGTGTTAGCCTATGTTTGGGGCAAATACAATACAACACATTACTGAGTACCACTCTCCATATTTTCAAGTATAGTGGTGGTTGCATCATATTATGGCAGTGGAGGCTCCTCAGAGGAGGAAGGGGAGGACCATCCTCCTCAGTGAATTTCATAAAATAAAAATAGTTAAACATTTCAAATGTTATTCTTTTTAGATAAAACTATACTAAATATAATAACAAGTCACCAAATAACTGTTTAAAACACACTATTTTGCAAAGGTCTACAGTAGCCTCAACAGCACTCTGTAGGGTAGCACCATGGTGTAGCCAGAGGACAGCTAGCTTCCGTCCTCCTCTGGGTACATTGACTTCAATACAAAACCTAGGAGGCTCATGGTTCTCACCCCCTTCCATAGACTTACACAGTAATTTTGACAACTTCCGGAGGACGTCCTCCAGCCTATCAGAGCTCTTGCAGCATGAACTGATATGTTGTCCACCCAATCAAAGGATCAGAGAATGAATCTAGTACTGAAAGCATAAGCTACAGCTAGTTAGCACTGCAGTGTATAAAAAGTGGTGAGTCGTTGACTCAAAGAGAGAGAAAGACAATAGTTGAACCGTTTTTAACAAATTAATTTTTCCTAAATGAAGGAGAAGCAAGAGAGAAATAGAAAGAGAGAGAGATTTTGACATTTTTTTTCTCTTTCATTTTCACTTACTTAGCTAGCAAATGAGGCTAGCTAGTTTAGCCTACTGAAACACCCTGCTCAAACAGAGGGATGCTATGTTAGCTAGCTGGCTATGACTTTCCAACACAACACTGGAACTCTTCCAAGTCAAGGTAACGTTAAGCTTTTGGTATTACTAATTTATTGCCACCGGGGCCCGCCGGTGTAACTGCTTACTGACTGTACATTAACGTTACTGCATGATTGTAGCGGGTTTACTAACGCGTAAGTTCTATTAACTATGATGACTATGACGTTACTTTAGCTAATATGGTGACAACGATGTAGGCTGTTTGTAGAGGTTTAGCTTGGAAAGTTTTTTGGGCATGGTCACATACAGCTGATTTGTTGTGCATTGAAGTCCACAAGCGAATGGAAGAGAAGGAATACAACGTGGCTGTTATGAGAGTGAACTCTGTTTACGCGTGATCAGGGGAGTATTCATTCCGCCGATTCTAATGAAAATGGAACAAAACGGGGATAAACATACCTGAATTTGTCCAATAGAAACTCTTGTCTGCAACTGTTGGACTAATAATTACATTATTGTTTGTGTTGTTGGCTAGCTCCTCTGAACAACACTCTCCTGACGAAATTAATGGAATGGAGCTAAGCATAGGCAAAATCCTGAAGGAAAACTTGGTTCAGTCTGCTTTCCACCAGACACTGTGAGATGAATTCACCTTTCAGCAGGACAATAGCCTAAAACACAAGGCCTAATCTACACTGGAATTGCTTACCAAGAAGACAGTGAATGTTCCTGAGTGGCCGAGTTACAGTTTTGACTTAAATCTGCTTGAAAATCGATGGCAAGACGTGAAAATGGTTGTCTAGCAATGATCAACAACCAATTTGACAGAACTTGAAGAATTTTGAACAAAATAATAGGCAAATGTTGCACAATCCAGGTGTGGAAAGCTCTTAGAGACTTAACCAGAAAGACTCACAGCTGTAATCGCTGCGAAAGATGTTTCTAACATGTATTGACTCAGGTGGTCTAATACTTATCTAATCAAGATATATTAGTGTTTTATTTTTCATATTTTTATTTTTTTTACAAACGTTAGAATTTTTCTTCCACTTTGACATTACAGAGCATTTTGTGTAGATTGTTGACAGAAAATGTAAATTAAATCAATTTTAATCCCACTTTGTAACACATCAAAATGTGGAAAAAGTCAAGGGGTGTGAATACTTTCTGAAGGCACTGTATATACTTGTGAGTAAAGTAATCCAAAACACAAAACACAGATCCATGCTGAGATTCACTGAAAACCAAATACTTGTCCTCCCGCTTTGTATCACATACTGTTTTGGCCAGCTTCTGTGCAACCTTTGGATGTGCACTATCCCCTATCCTGATAGGGGCCCTGAAACCATCCCTAACTAGGCATGTGTAGATCACAAAGGACATGCTGTAGATGTAGGATCTTAATTTGATCACCTGCAATGCAGGACATTTAAAACGTGTAGTGTATCTGAGGTTTAAAAAGGCTTCTGAAGTTTATAATTTCCACTTTAAAATTTCAGACTTGATTTTCCATTATGAAAAATCTATAAATCCCTACAAAAATATCCATTAATTGTAATCCACATAATAATTCACATTTCCTGTTGCTGCAGGATTATTTTTCTGCTGTAGGAAACTGGCTCAAATTAAGATTCTGCATGTGTAGTTGTAAGTAATGTGGCAGAAATGCCACCTAGCCTATTTGAGCTCAACGTAGAGATAACTCCCATGTTGCTTATATCTGTCCATTTATTAAAGATCATGAACTGCCTAGAGGCTAGAGGTTAGGGACTAGAGGCTAGGGGCTAGGGGCTAGAGGTTAGTGACTAGAGCTAGGGGTTAGGGGCTAGAGGCTAGGGGCTAGAGGTTAGGGGCTAGAGGCTAGGGACTAGAGGCTAGGGGCTAGAGGCTAGGGACTAGAGGCTAGGGGCTAGAGGTTAGGGGCTAGAGGCTAGGGACTAGGGGCTAGAGGTTAGGGACTAGAGGCTAGGGGCTAGAGACTAGGGGCTAGAGGTTAGGGACTAGAGGCTAGGGGCTAGAGGTTAGGGGCTAGAGGTTAGGGGCTAGAGGCTAGGGGCTAGATGTTAGGGGCTAGAGGCTAGGGACTAGAGGCTAGGGGCTAGAGGTTAGGGGCTAGAGGCTAGGGACTAGAGGCTAGGGGCTAGAGGTTAGGGGCTAGAGGCTAGGGGCTAGAGACTAGGGGCTAGATGTTAGGGACTAGAGGCTAGGGGCTAGAGGCTAGGGGCTAGAGGCTAGGGGCTAGGGGCTAGAGGCTAGGGGCTAGAGGTTAGCGACTAGAGGCTAGGGGCTAGAGGCTAGGGGCTAGAGGCTAGGGGCTAGAGGCTAGGGGCTAGAGGCTAGGGGCTAGAGACTAGGGGCTAGAGGCTAGGGGCTAGAGGCTAGGGGCTAGAGACTAGGGGCTAGAGGCTAGGGGCTAGGGATTGTTTTTGGACAGTCTCCCTCTTTCATCCTATTAATTGATTTCTCTCCTCTTATGTTTAGTTACTTTAAGAAGTTCCAGTACTGCGGGTACGCCCCTCATGTGCGCAGCTGCAAGCCCAACACGGACGGTATCTCCTCCTTCGAGGACCTCCTGGCCAACATCGTCCTGAGGGTCTTCGTCTGGGTGGTGTCAGCCACCACGTGCTTCGGCAACATCTTCGTCATCTGCATGCGCTCCTACATCCGATCGGAAAACAAGCTCCATGCCATGTGTATAATCTCCTTGTGTTGTAAGAAACAGCTTTCAGATCAATCAACTCAGGCCCCCATTCAATTGATTTCAGATAAAGGAAAACCGCACTGCAGCTTCATTCAGAATGTTTACTCTGTATCATAAGGGAAGGTGAGGTTTCAGCTTCATTCAGAATGTTTACTCTGTATCGTAAGGGAAGGTTTGAGCTTCATTCAAAATGTTTACTCTGTATCGTAAGAGAAGGTTTGAGCTTCATTCAGAATGTTTACTCTGTATCATAAGGGAAGGTGGGGTTTCAGCTTCATTCAGAATGTTTACTCTGTATCATAAGGGAAGGTGAGGTTTCGCTCCAATTTCCAATGACAATGTCCAAGAGAGGGACAACTTCCGGGGTGTGTCGATTTAAACGTGGTGAACATCACAGATTCTTAGTGAACCCTCAGAGCAGGTTTCCTTGATCCGCAATCGATTGAATTGGGGTCTTTAGCTTTAATATGCAGGTTTATATATTTATTGAACTGTCGACAATCGCAGTGACCACCACTGAACCATTAGTACATAGTATGTTAATGTTGTACTCCCCTAGGAGTCAGAGGGAGTCTACATTACATGGCTACATTACATGTCTTTATGCCTTTGCTACAAGCCAGGCCCACATTTTTGCTCAATTAAACTAGCTTTGTCACAGATACGGTGATGCAGGGAATGAGAGACATATTAATGGCTTAGTCCCTTGGAAGTCTGTGGGATAGCTATATTACCTGACTTTTCCCTGTCTCTGTGCCCTGCACTGTAAGACACACATTTCTGTTCAATTTAACTAAGCTTTGATACAGTATGCAAGGCTTGAGATAGACAGTATATGTTTAGGACCTATCCCTGTGAAGATCAGAATGGATTTGGCAGTCCCCCCACCATGCTTCACACTGTAATGTGTCAGATGAAAAATGCTTTTTGATATGCACATTTGGTACCTTTCCATATCAAAAGAAGTGCAATGACATGGTCTAGCGCTATACTATACAATGAGTCACTGAATTTTGTAATAGACAGAGCCTATTGTAATTTACTGAGGGGAAATGTGAGCGGTAAATATGTTGTCTGTTTTGGCATCACCGTGACCAAAGTCCAACACCAGCCAGATAAATTCATCTTGGAGCAAAATGTCTGATGTATTTAATTTACGTCTGAAATTTCAGTTTGATTTAAATTTCAGTTTGATTTTCTTCAACAAATATTTCATCTCTATGTTAATGAATGGCTTACTGAAAAAGGGGACATCTCAGCAGAGTCAAATAGACTTCAAAGTTTGGCTAAAGCTTACTTGCAAATATATGGAGGCGTAAGATAAAGTTTATATTACCAGAAAAGTTTGTCATTGCTGATAATAACATATCAGTTTGTACATGACACTGCTATTAACCCTGAACAGATTCACTCTGAAATCAATTTGTCCATCAAATTCATGTCTTGAAGTTGAGATGTGCCTATATTCCACTTGTAGATGCTCTGAAGGCATACTGTCGCTCAGCTGGTAGAGCACGGCGCTTGTAACGCCAAGGTAGTGGGTTCGATCCCCGGGACCACCCATACACAAAAATGTATGCACGCATGACTGTAAGTCGCTTTGGATAAAAGCGTCTGCTAAATGGCATATTATTATTATTACTACTGTGATTAAAAACTTGGCCCATTAAATTACAGAAGTTTGCATTGATCTAACTCTACAGTGACTCTTTTCTGCACTTTATGACTCCCAAATGACAGTAGAATTGATTGACTAAGGAGTGAGATGTCCCTTTAACCAAGGAGATAGATTGAATAGTAGTGCACGCTAACCAAACTACGATGTTTGAGATCTGTTTCACTGTAAAAAGTCCAGCAGATAGTATCAATCTGTACACCGAGTTCAATTGGATCATAGTAATTACTGTTGCAACCTACTTCCACCACCCAGGTGCCGATGGCCTGATGGGCGTCTACCTCTTCATGATCGGCGCCTACGACCTCAAGTTCCGCGGCGAGTACAACCGCCACGCCCAGGCCTGGATGGACAGCGAGCAGTGTCAGGTGATCGGCTCCCTCGCCATGCTCTCCACTGAGGTCTCCGTCCTGCTGCTCACCTACCTTACCCTGGAGAAGTACATCTGTATCGTCTACCCCTTCCGGTATCTAACCCCTGGCCGCCGGCGCACCGTCTCCATCCTCCTCAGCATCTGGTTCATTGGCTTCGTCATCGCCTTCCTCCCACTGGTCTTCAAAGGATTGTTCCGGAATTTCTATGGTACCAACGGCGTGTGTTTTCCGTTACACTCGGAGCAGCCCGAGACGACGGGGACGCAGGTGTACTCCATCGTCATTTTCCTAGGTGGGTGTCTTATCTAACTTAATGTCACTGTCAAGGTCAAATTTTAAATGTCACTCTGAAATGAGTATTGTCTATTTCGAATTTCAGTCTGAAATGACAATTGTTCCAATGTCACTCTGACATGAGCATTGTTCCAATGTCACTCTGACATGGCCTATTTCTATATATTTCCAAGTGATGCTTATTAGATGTAGCTTCCATTTTAAAGCCCTAATCATGAGGCTCACTTGTTTGGCCAGAGTTTAAAGAGGCATGCCTGTAGCCAGAGGGTTGCTGCCTGGTTCAAATCCCAAGTCTGGTAAATGAACTGGCATCAAGAAGGTTGCTGTTGTCAGAATTCCAAATACCATGTTTACTTCCATTGTTCCCTTGAGCGAATTGCTCCAGGGTTGCTACACTGTGGGCGGTACTGTTCCGCTTTCAGCTTCTCAATGAGGGGTACATACACTCAGGTGGTTGAGAACAGAAGAGACATTACCATAATTGCTTAATGTTTCTATATAAGTGCTTTTCTATAATGTATCTCGTTGTCCGTTACAAAGGCAGTACCACATTGGGCCCCTAAAACAAATGCATTGATTCTGGCTCATGAAAGTTGCCACATTGGCCTTTGTCCCATGTGTGTCAAACTGTGATAATTGTTTGAATTGTTCTGAAAGTTAAAGTATTTTTTTAAAATTTACTTTGTATGAGTACAAGGAGTTCAGAGGAGCTCACAATTAATGTAATTTCCTCAACAGGCCTGAACCTGGTTGCGTTCCTCATCATCGTATTGTCCTACGGGAGTATGTTCTACAACATCCAGAGGACAGGGACACAGACGACTAAATATAGTAACCATATCAAAAAGGAGGTGACCATAGCCAAGAGGTTCTTTTCCATCGTCATCACAGACTCTCTTTGCTGGATACCCATCTTTGTCCTCAAGATTCTATCACTGTTGCAGGTGGAGATTCCAGGTAGGAGTTTCAGTACTGTCATAATCTCTGACTACTTTTATAATTTCAAACATTTCATTTGGAAACCCTAACATTGCATCAAACAGACAAGGTCAATTTGTAGGCTATAAAACGTACAATATGTAGGCTACTATGCAGTGCCATCTTACATCAAATATAAGTATTTCAATCAGTCTCTTTTACAGATATTAAACTTGCATGAAAGTGAGCAACTCTCCATTTGGGCTGATCTGTGACCCGCTAGCACCTCCCCAGGTCAGAGGGGAATAAGGCAACCTCAGAGTTACACACAAGGATACTTTATTGACACACACAGGAATTAAATGGACATAGAAAGGTAGTGGTTCTGTAACAGGAGAAACAGAGGCAATGAATATACACATACCAAATTAACACACCAGGGCAAGAATGCACAGATACCAAATCTTATAGAATAAAGCAGTAATAAATGACAAAGGACTGTATAGAAATATAAGCTGATATGCGGCTTAACAACTAGCAGTAATATACACAAATACACAACTAACTTTAAACACGCACGCCATCCCACATGTCCAGAGATATGCCACATGTCCAGAGATATGCCACATGTCCAGAGATATGAATGAGTCCAGTTGTTGTTGTGCAGGACAGAGATGAGCTTGCTGCCTTCTCTGTGACTCCTTGAAGGAGACTGACAAGTGTGTGACTGGAGAGTCAGAAAGAGGGGCAGATGTCTGGCCCCCTAGCAACCACCCTACCGACTGCCCTGTCAACCAATCAGTGGCCAGGGCCCTAGGTGTGAAAGGACAGTTTATGACATTATAACCCATAGCCTAGTCTGCTAGGTTCCAGTGGGGGAGGGGTGCCTACTTCAAAGGTTAGAAAGTTTGTGTTTGTGTCTCTGAGAGGACTGTGAGATGGTGTGCTAAGAGTCTCCAGCAGGGAATTTGTAACATTGTATCATTCAGATTAGTTCCATAATGAATCCTATTTTCCGGTTGTAAATTGAATAGCAAACTTCCAGACTGATAGGTACTCTAAATGTAAATGTGTGGTTGTACTCGTAGCATGTTTACAAATGGACCAGCATCACAGAACATCCTCCATCCATCATTGTCTCTTCTCTTTCACCCCGCCAACCCACCACACCTCACCCTACTCCCCATGCATGTACTGTATACAGGAATAGAACTTAAGGGTTTTGAGTACATTTACATTTACATTTTAGTCATTTAGCAGACGCTCTTATCCAGAGCGACTTACAGGAGCAATTAGGGTTAAGTGCCTTGCTCAAGGGCACATTTACGTCATTTAGCAGACGCTCTTATCCAGAGCCAGCCTGGCTTGTAGAACATGATTTCAACTAGCATGGGTAACTTTCAGGTAAAAAATGTGTGCCTTGTGAAATTTGCCCAGACTGGCTAGTTTAGTTTGGCACATTTTCTACCATCCGTGACTGAATGTAGACCCTATGTGTATGTCTACTGAGGAAAATGGGATTGCAGAATACGCATTTCCATTGCTCATGTATTAAATGGATAATAATGTAATCTTCTTCTTCCCGAATAGGAACCATCAGCTCCTGGGTGGTGATCTTCATCCTGCCCATCAACAGTGCCCTCAACCCCATCCTGTACACCCTGACCACACGGCCATTCAAAGAGACCATCCTCCAGGTGTGGGCCAACTACAGGCAGAGGAGACCACTAATGAGCAGCCACCCAGCCCACCACCCCTCATTAACGTTGCAGGAGATGTGGCCGCTCCAAGAGAACAGCCAGACCCTGACTTCGCCCGGCGACTACCTGACGCATCCCTTGGAGATGTCCTGCACAATATCAGGCACGTCAGGCACGTCTCAGCTACTGCCTGTGGAAAGTACAAATGCCGAATAATGCCCTTCAGGTTCAAACATTTGTTTTATGCCGACGTTTCATGTGCAATAGTATGTTTACAGCATGTTGATTGTTGTAGAGTTGATTAACTTTTTCCACTGTGATTTATACAGACATCAAAGGAGCTCATTTGTACACGTTGGACAATGTGCCGTTCTACTTTGCTGAGGATTAGACCTTGGCTTTGTTCTTGCTTTCAGTTTGATATGATCATTGACACACTTCTATGATTTATGGTTATAAGAAAAAACATCAATCATCATTCCCATAAGCATCCATTTATGTGAAGTCCATCGTATAGAAGAAATCAATCACTGCCATTCTCTGTTCTGGACTGGGATGTTTCGTTATGTATGTTTTAATGGTTTTAATTTTGTCCCTGAAATAATTATGACATTATCTCTGAGAGGAGTAGTGAACTGCTGACAGATTCATTTTGTTTATTTAGTGTACAGGCAGGCTATGCAGACTGCAGAGGTGACTTGTTTGTGGCATTTGCTATTGCAACACAAAGATACAGTATGTCATGTTCCAAGGGCGGTCGATCTTGGGTTTGTGACCATCTTTGATGGCCCGCTATCATCCAGAAGGCGAGGTCAGTACAGGTGCATCAAAGCTGGGACCGAGAGACTGAAAAACAGCTTCTATCTCAAGGCCATCAGACTGTTAAATAGCCATCACTAGATGGCTACCACCCGGTTACTCAACCCTGCACCTTAGAGACTGCTGCCCTATATACATAGACATGGAATCACTGGTCACTTTAATAATGGAACACTAGTCACTTTAATAATGTTTACATACTGTTTTATTCATTTCATATGGGGTGGCAGGTAGCTTAGTGGTTGAGAGCGTTGTGCCATTAACCAAAAGGTCGCTGGTTCTAATCCCCGAGCCGACTAGGTGAAAAATCTGTCTGTGCCCTTGAGCAAGGCACTTAACCCTAATTGCTCCTGTAAATCGCTCTGGATAAGAGCGTCTGCTAAATGACTAAAATGTAAAATGTATATGTATTCTAGTCAATGCTACTCCGACATTGCTTGTCCTAATATTTCTTCATTCCATTATTTTACTTTTAGATTTGTGTGTATTGTTGTGAATTGTTAGAAACTACTCCACTGTTGGAGCTAGGAACATAAGCATTTCGCTACACCCGCAATAACATCTGCTAAATATGTGTATGTGACCAATAAAATTTGATTTGATTTTGATTTGACTTTTCTCAAAGGCATGACAGGATGTTTGTTCAAAGGTCTCAATTTACAGTTGCTGATAGCAGTGGTAATGTGTCATTTCTTCTTTGGAAGGAAGTCATCATAACATTATTTGCACTCAGTCACTCCCACACATTACAATATGTGTGTTATCATTTGTTATGATGAACCCATATGTGCTCAGACTTCAATAATGGATAGACGAGGAGACCTGCAAAAGTGATGTAATCTGTTGTTTGGATATGAGCGCTTGGCTTTGTAACCTACAGTATGTCACTACTACTGAATGTGTTTTTAGTGGAGAGTTATCTGTCTCATGCATTTGACCCTGGTGGTGGTTTCAAGACACTATTGTTTACATAAGATGTTTTTAAGATGTGCACAGCATCAAGCTTGGAAATAAACACAAATATGCATGATTTGTTTGCTTTCTAGATCTAACTTCAGCATTTTTATATTTTATAGATGTATTGTTATATTATCCTATTTGGCTTCTAGAATAGTAAATACAAATAAACTTGCATTATGAAATGTATACTAATTACAGTGTACATGTCTCTGGGTCAATCCAGTCAGTGTGAGATCTACGTTTACGCAGGTAGCGCATCTTTTCACTCACGTGAACGTGCCAGAACAGTGCAGCGTCTGCGCAGTTACTGATCATTTCGACGGTCTGTTATGTATGTGTTATGAGACGAATTTTATAAGGTGTCTCTGGATGACATTTGTGGTCCAACCAGACTTGCACGATCATTGGGGTGGCAGAGCTGCGAGACCACTTCGTCTGTACCCAAAGAGGACCGCTGCTAATTAGTGAACTAGCTAGTAACGTTACTAGCTGACCAATTCATACGATGTTTCCAGCTAGCAGATATTCAATTCAAGGTAAGTTAGCTAGCTATGCACACGCGTGTCAATTTCCATGTTCTCTCTCTTGCCTTTTGACACATATGGCCCCCCTAATTTGTCAATGGTAGTTATCTAAAATAACTAGCTATAATTTGAGGGTGGCATGCACTAAGATTTTCATAGTAAGATGGGTGACATTAGCTTTGTGAAATCTTGAAATGCTAGCTAGCTAGCTAGCAAAACTAAATGTAGGGCAAAGTTGAAATCAAAATATAGGTCACATGAACGACTGTCCTTGGGTCCGAATGTTATTTTAGTACGTGTAAACGAAGATAAATTGGTAGCTACGTTTCCTCTTACAGTGTGTTTTGAACCACTTAGAATAATATCAAAATATGCACTTTTTAAAGTAATTGGCTGGCTGGCTAGCTAGCTAGCTTTGTAGCTTGCTATAGTTAGTTCAACCAATAGAGGCCAAGTCTTTGAGTGCATGCATCCAAAGATTCAGCGGGACAGTTCATGGCTTGATCAGAGGAAGGTGGTCATGGAGATGGTTGATGAAGAGTCTGTTGAGGATCATGTAACGTTAGAGGGGTAGTCTTAAAAAATATATATATATATTTTTTCTACTAATTTGTTACTACTATATGTGATAACTTATCTGGCTGACAATCGCAGCAAAGAGAGTGCCTATTGACAAGTGCACATGCCCATACAAATATTTCACAGGCTGCTAGGCAGAAGAATAGTAAGACATTCAGTTGCAGTGTATTATACAGTTCTGCTGTATACTCCAATAAACACTCCCATAATGACGTGAGTCATTAAGATAGCTGTAAACAAAGTCATGATAACTTGTTACTTCTCTCCTTCAGTTGTGTGATCCATCATAACCAGTGACATGAATTACACAGGCCACCATGAGTGTACTTATGACTGTGTGATTGTTAGTACTGTGCATAAGATAACTTGTGTAATGTAGGATCTAACTTAATCAGCTTCCTTGCTAGTCCAAGTCGGCACTGACTGAATCGGCCTTGTTCTTTGCAGCCCAGAGGTGTATAAGAGCGTTGAAAACAGTGCAAGCAGAACGTGCACCTCCACAGCTCTACACATGGAGACGGAATTGCTCGTCTGCAGTGACGCCTCGCATAACATCACACTACACAATCTGCCCTAGGGACAAAGACCCGCGATGGGAAGGTACATAACATCACACTACACAATCTGCCCCAGGGACAAAGACCCGTGATGGGAAGGTACATAACATCACACTACACAATCCACCCCAGGGACAAAGCCCCGTGATGGGAAGGTACATAACATTACACTACACAATCTGCTCCAGGGACAAAGCCCCGCGATGGGAAGGTACATAACATCACACTACACAATCTGCCCCAGGGACAAATACCCGCGATAAGGGTAATCCTCCTCATCTATGGCACACCTCCTCATCTATGGCACACTGTCTGAAATGAAATGTATTGCATTATGCAACACCCAAACACCTTTGTTTTTCTCACCTTATCTCACGAAAACGTTTAACTCATCTCATATGTGAGTGACTGGGGAATTTATTAGACTTATGTCTTCCTAAAACAAACATTTGTCCTTCAGTGTTCATCTATAGTATACTATTGTAAATTAACTCTGTCAGCACTACACGTTTCCACTTTTGACATTAGATAGTACTACATACTGCTAATCATTCCAGTTTGTCTTATAGAGGCTTGTGTAACCTTGCCCAAGACCTAAAGACTTGTGTTAGCACCCCCAAGCTAATGACTGTAGCTGTAGCTCAGTGGGCTAACACAGTCCTGTGCTCAGACGACCCAGGTTCCAAACCCAGTTGGTGACATACCTATTTGTGTGTGGTGTTTTGTCTCTATCCAGGTGTGGAGATGGAGCGGTTTGCAGACGAGGCTGATGTGGTGATAGTGGGCGGGGGTCCCGCGGGGCTGTCGGCAGCCATCCGGCTGAAGCAGCTAGCCAACGAGCAGGAGAAGGAGCTGCGTGTCTGCCTGGTGGAGAAGGCCTCTCAGATTGGAGCACACACTCTCTCCGGGGCCTGCCTGGAGCCCAGCGCCCTCAACGAGCTCTTTCCAGACTGGAAGGAGAGAGGGGTATGTTATGTTAATGTGCATGGCTTAAGACTTAACTTTTTCCACTGGTGGCACTGGTGTTACCAACTTTTTAAGTTGATGGCACCAGCACATGATTTGGTCGCACCAAGTCTTCAGGTCTTCAAAGCTCGATAATGACCTGTGTCCCATAATGTACCAGCATTCCATACAGAACCAGGCGAATAATGACTAGCCATCTTTTAAATTAGCATGCCCTTGCAGTGCTTGACATTTGGGTAAATTTGTTAGTGGCACACCGGGCTAGTGCCAACTGAATGCTACTGGCCTGTGAAAGTGGATGATGCGCATGTTATCTGTAATTTGCGTGCTGACCAAGTAGCCTATAATGACTTACCCTCCATACACAAATAATTACATTTTAACTTGACAATATGATATTTACATTGATTGTTTGGGAAAGAAAGAAAAAAACATTTGCGCAATCTCATAAAGGGTGTTATTGTTAGCGATTTTGAACAGTCACTCTACAGTTGTAGGGCCCTATAAAATCAGTTTTATATTTTGGTAAATTCTGTTTTCCCAGTTTTATTTTTGCCGGTTTCTGAGTTTTCCACATTTTGTTTTAGGTTTTCACTCACAAAAAATACAAAAATGTAATGTTCTAAGTCCACAACAATGCTTAAACCACATCAGGAGACCACTTTTGAGGTCTGGGAACAATCCAAAAATAAATCTATACATCTACATTATAAAAAAAATATTTATTTTTTAGTGGCGGCCACGATTTATCAGCGGTGGTGCGCTGCTGCTAAATGCGTGTAGGGGAAAAACTGAAATGCCCTCACAAATAAAAATGTATTTGTCACATGCGCCGAATACAACAGGTGTAGACCTTACTGTGAAATGCTTACTTAGAAGCCCTTAACCAACAATGCTTACTGTGAAATGCTTACTTAGAAGCCCTTAACCAACAATGCAGTTCAATAAATAAATTAAAGTAAAAAATACAATCAGAGGCTGTGTCAGTAGGTCTGTTGGAAATGTTACAATGTCATTCAGAGGAAAGGAGCATCTTCTCACTGAGCTTACTCTGAAGGAGTTTCTTTCCACTGAGAGAAATTACAATGAAATTGTCCACATCTCTGCTCTCTATTATTGAAGTGTTCAGCACATCAGCCTTAGAAAGACTGGGAGGGATATGCAGCATATGCTCAATTCACAGACATCTTGTGTTAGACGGATACACACAGAATATGGACCTGGCATTTTCTTGGTCTTTTTTCATTCTTAGACAGAACTATCACAGTCCTAGACAACACATGTAAATGTAAAATGTAACACAATGATACTGTCCATTGGAATGTCTTGCAAGCAACACAGGCTAAAGATAAAGTGCTAATGTTGTTTTTGTACTCTTCCCTTAGGCACCCTTGAACACTCCAGTGACTGAGGATGTGTTTAGCCTTCTAACTGAGAAATACAGAATCCCTGTCCCAATGTTGCCAGGTAAAGTCACATGCAACTCTAGCTTGTCACCTGTAAGCTCTGTCCTAAACATACAGCTACAGTGAGGGAAAAAAGTATTTGATCTCCTGCTGATTTTGTACGTTTGCCCACTGACAAAGAAATGATCAGTCTATAATTTTAATGGTAGGTTTATTTGAACAGTGAGAGACAGAATAACAACAACAAAATCCAGAAAAACGCATGGCAAAAATGTTATGAATTGATTTGCATTTTAATGAGGGAAATAAGTATTTGACCCCTCTGCAAAACATGACTTAGTATTTGGGTTGGCAACTCGAACCTTCAGCTCCCTCCACAGATTTTCTATGGGATTAAGGTCTGGCTAGGCCACTCCAGGACCTTAATGTGCTTCTTCTTGAGCCACTCCTTTGTTGCCTTGGCCGTGTGTTTTGGGTCATTGTCATGCTGGAATACCCATCCACGACCCATTTTCAATGCCCTGGCTGAAGGAAGGAGGTTCTCACCCAAGATTTGACGGTACATGGCGCCGTCCATTGTCCCTTTGATGCGGTGAAGTTGTCCTGTCCCCTTAGCAGAAAAACACCCCCAAAGCATAATGTTTCCTCCTCCTCCAAACACGGCGAGTTGAGTTGATGCAAAAGACCTCGATTTTGGTCTCATCTGACCACAACACTTTCACCCAGTTCTCCTCTGAATCATTCAGATGTTCATTGGCAAACTTCAGACGGGCCTGTATATGCGCTTTCTTGAGCTGGGGGACCTTGCAGGCGCTGCAGGATTTCAGTCCTTCACGGCGTAGTGTGTTACCAATTGTTTTCTTGGTGACTATGGTCCCAGCTGCCTTGATCATTGACAAGATCCTCCCGTGTAGTTCTGGGCTGATTCCTCACCGTTCTCATGATCATTGCAACTCCACGAGGTGATATCTTGCATGGAGCCCCAGGCCGAGGGAGATTGACAGTTATTATGTGTTTCTTCCATTTGCGAATAATCGCACCAACTGTTGTCACCTTCTCACCAAGCTGCTTGGCGATGGTCTTGTAGCCCATTCCAGCCTTGTGTAGGTCTACAATCTTGTCCCTGACATCCTTGGAGAGCTCTTTGGTCTTGGCCATGGTGGAGAGTTTGGAATCTGATTGATTGCTTCTGTGGACAGGTGTCTTTTATACAGGTAACAAATTGAGATTAGGAGCACTCCCTTTAAGAGTGTGCTCCTAATCTCAGCTCGTTACCTGTATAAAAGACACCTGGGAGCCAGAAATCTTTCTGATTGAGAGGGGGTCAAATACTTATTTCCCTCATTAACAAATAAACCTACCATTAAAATTATAGACTGATCATTTCTTTGTCAGTGGGCAAACGTACAAAATCAGCAGGGGATCAAATACTTTTTTCCCTCACTGTATTATGGTATTACCCTTGACTGTGCAGTCTGTGTTTTTCATTCTATTTAATTTTTGGATTTTCCCATAGGTCTGCCCATGAACAACCATGGGAACTACATTGTGCGGCTGGGCCACTTTGTGCGTTGGTTGGGAGAGCAGGCTGAGGAGCTGGGAGTGGAGATATACCCCGGCTACGCTGCTGCTGAGGTGAGCCCCGCCCACCCTCTACCTTTCTCACATTTAAGAAAACACAGGCCATCTTACTAATGTAGGCGTGACAATTACTGTTGACAAGCTACATTGATATTTCCTTGAACGTCAGATTTTTCTCAGTAAACATTTACATAATTGGATGCCGTTGTCCGGATATAGGCTGTGATATCTTTGAGGCGTTTTCATGCCTGAGATCGATAACTGATTTCACTGCGATGTGTTGACGGGTCGTGACTTGCTTTCATTGATCGTGTTTGCTTGAGGTGGCATTCTACTTTCAAAGTGTTTAATTTCTGATTGTGTTTTTTAGGTTTTGTTTCATGAAGATGGAAGTGTGAAAGGAATTGCCACCAATGATGTGGGCATCGCTAAGGATGGTTCGCCAAAGGTAAACTTCTGCAGTACAGTCACTTATCCACCAATGTGAAGTATACCGTATGACTTTGGAAGTATAATATAATATGCCATTTCGCAGACGCTTTTGTCCTAAGCAACTTAGTCATGTGTGCATACATTTTTACGTATGGGTGGTCCCGGGGATCGAACCAACTACCCTGGCGTTACAAGCGCCATGCTCTACCAATTGAGCTACAGAGGACCACTATAGAGTTGGACTGTAAAAACTGCAAGTTTTATAAAAACAAGGAAAAAACAGCACTGAATATAGTATTTAAACTCATGCAATGAATGAAAATGACAAGTAGCCTCATCCCTGGTGTATCAGAATAACATGCTCCTCTTCATTGCCTCTGCAGGACGTGTTTGAGAGGGGGATGGAACTCCATGCTAAAGTGACCCTGTTCGGAGAGGGCTGCCACGGCCACTTGGCCAAGCAGCTCTACAGGCAGTTCAACCTCAGGGAGAACTGTGAACCACAGACCTACGCCATTGGCCTAAAAGAGGTAACTCCCCCTGCCCCCTCAAATCCTAAAGCTCCTATCGGTTGAGAAATAGTGTCTCTGTATTTGGGCAGAATTAAATAAATACTCTACAATCTGTTCTCTGTTTTTAACCAGTCATCCATTACAGATTGAAAGGGTCCATTTATTTATTATAATTTGTAGTAGCTATTATTTCTAAATGGATCCAAATCAGAATGGCATATTGATTACATTTTACATTTGAGTCATTTAGCAGATGCTTTTATGCAGAACGACTTCCATGAATGGTGTTATTTTTCTGTCTAACCAGGTGTGGCTGATTGATGAGAAGAAGTGGAGACCGGGCAGAGTGGAGCATTCCGTGGGCTGGCCGCTGAACAGGAACACGTACGGCGGCTCCTTCCTCTACCACCTGAACGAGGGCGAGCCATTGGTGGCCTTGGGCTTTGTGGTGAGTCCCTGTTATAATAATAATAATAATAATAATAATAATAATAATTGGTCATTTAGCAGACGCTCTTATCCAGAGCGACTTACAGGAGCAATTAGGGTTAAGTGCCTTGCTCAAGGGCACATCGACAGATGTTTCACCTAGTCGGCTTGGGGATTAGAACCAGCGACCTTTCGGTTACTGGCACAACGCTCTTAACCACTAAGCTACCTGCCGCCCATATATGGCGGCCATATTGGCTCCTTGATGCCATTAATGTCAACAGTCAAACTACTAGACATGCTAACACTTGGAAACGGTCTAAACTCTAAATGAAATAACCTTTGTACAACTGAGGTCAGTGAATGTCAATGTACTATACTTCTACCCTTCTCTTTATCTTATTGGCCTTTTTAAGGGGATGCGTGTCAGTTTATCATGTGAATCTTAATTAGGCCTAAAAGAACAAGTTGGGATTAGGGCTGTTACAGTGACCATATTACCACCACACCGGCAGTCATGAGTCATGACCGCAGTCAAATTCCACGTGACCGTTGAGTCACAGTAATCTCCTTTTATGCACTCTGGACATGCATTGGTATGGTACCCAACTCGCTATGATACCCAACTCGCTAAACCATCAAGTTGCTAATGGTCTGGTACTCAGCGTTCTATTGTCCCTCAAACCACTCTGACATCAATGCAAATGCCTTCCAAAATCATATCAAACACAGCATTAAAAAAACAGTATCATGCTTTTAAAACTTTCAGTTAGGCTACATTGTTTGTCCTCACTGTGATCAATGAATTTGAAGAAAGATGTTCAACAACAGGTTGAAACTGAGTGGAAAACATGGTCGTTGTTGTGGATGTTGTTTCAAAGGCCAAACACAACGAAATGGACGGCGCTTTCTAAGGTGATGATTAATTCAAATAGTTTAATACGTAGCATGTAGAACACACATTAGAGCTTATGCAGACACATAGGCCTATACAGTGCCTTCAGAAAATATTCACAATTTATATAAATCAGAGTTAAACAACAGTTGGACGGATCCTATAGCCTTCTTACTCTCAACAGCTCAGAAGCAACTATCAGCAGACAAAAAAATTATCACTAAAAACAGAGATCACCCAAGAAGAAATATTAGATACTGTTAAAACATTCGCACGGAGAAAAGCACCAGGAATGGATGGCTTTCCCATAGAATTCTATTCAACATTTTGGGACAAAGTAGCCCCCCATTTATACAAATGACAACACACGTCATTCAATTCAGTGCTTCCTAGTTCTATGTATCAAATAGTTATTTAAGTTATATTAAAACCAGAAAGATCTGGAGTCCCCTGCTGATTATAGACTGCTAAGTTTAATAAATTGTGACAATAAAATAATAACAAAGCTTATAATCAATAGAATGGCAAAAGTCTTACCAGACTTGATACATATCAATCAAACAGGGTTTATTAAAAATGGACACAACAAATACAAGAACATGTTTCAGTTTAATACAATACGCAAAAAAACAAGCTATAGATTGATCAATAATGGCTGTGGATGGCGAAAAGGCGTTCAACCATCTTGAATGGCCTTTCCTAGTCAACTTTGGAAGCTTTCAACTTTCCAGCTGAAATAATACATTTAATAAAAATATTGTACTGACCAATGTAGATTAATTTCAAATACATGCACCTTAAAAGTTACATACCACAAAATCTTGATTTGAAATATTTTGGGCATCAGAGCAACCTTGAGGGAATCTTATTTGAGTCAGAAATGGATGTTCATATGATAGAGAAGATGTATAAAACCTTGCAGAGAGCATATCCAACTGGCAATCTGTTAGAAAAAATATATAAACTATTGGAACCAAGACTTAAAAAGAACTGATGTTGGCACAAGATGGAAGAAAGTTGGAGCATAACTAATGAAATTACAGTTAATGAAAATGTATACTTAAACTAATGTATAGAATTTATTACACGAGACAAAATTCACAAATTCTACAGCACAACGGCAGAGTCATGACTTAAGTGTAAAACTAATAATGACTCAATAACCTATGCTTTCTGGGAATGCTATAAAGTCCGGAAGTTGTGGGCGGAGCTAGAAAGCTGGCTGTCAGAGGTATTACAATGTAAACTTACCTTTAATCCGTCTGTCTGCATATTTCAAGACATGGCATATGGGGGTGAGATACCCAATGGGCTGGACGATTCTCTTCTCATCACTCATCTTGAAAAAATGTATACTAAAAACTTGTAAGTCAATCAATCCGCCATCATTGACACAATGGAAAAATCTAATGGTTTATTATTGAAATAGCATGGGCGACCATACAATTATAAGGCCAAGTGGCAAACAATAATTCAGGCACTAGAGATGGCGGTCTGTACAGATTATATGTAGTCAGATGATGAGATGTAGTCTGTTTGTTTCTCTAACTTGTTGTTTTTAAAAAAAGGTGGAGGGAAATATTATACAAAATAATAAAAGTATTCAGCACTTTGTTGAAGCACCTTTTGGCAGCGATTACAGCCTCGAGTCTTCTTGGGTATGACACTACAAGCTTGGCACACCTGTATTTGGGGAGTTTCTCCCATTCTTCTCTGCAGATCCTCTCAAGCTCTGTCAGGTTGGATGGGGAGCGTCGCTGCACAGCTATTTTCAGGTCTCTCCAGAGATGTTCGATCGGGTTCAAGTCCGACCTCTGGCAGGCCACTCATGGACATTCAGAGACTTGTCCCGAAGCCACTCCTGCGTTGTCTTGGCTGTGTGCCTTGGGTCATTGTCCTGTTGGTGGGTGAACCTTGGTCCTGAGCGCTCTGGAGCAGGTTTTCATCAAGGATCTCTCTGTACTTGGTTCACCTTTCCCTCGATCCTGACTAGTCTCCCAGTCCCTGCCTCTGAAAAACATCCCCACAGCATGATGCTGCCACCAACATGCTTCATCGTAGGGATGGTGCCACGTTTCTTCCTGACATGACGCTTGGCATTCAGGCCAAAGAGTTCAATCTTGGTTTCATCAGACCAGAGAATCTTGTTTCTCATGGTCTGAGAGTCCTTTAGGTGCCTTTTGGCAAACTCCAAGCGGGCTGTTGTGTGCCTTTTACTGAGGAGTGGCTTCCGTCTGGCCACTCTACCATAAAGGCCTGATTGGTGGAGTGCTGCAGAGATGGTTGTCCTTCTGGAAGGTTCTCCCATCTCCACAGAGGAACTCTGGAGCTCTGTCAGTGACCATCGGGTTCTTGGTCACCTCCCTGACGAAGGCCCTTCTCCCCCGATTGCTCAGTTTGGCCGGGCGGCCAGCTCTATGGTTCCAAACTTCTTCCATTTAAGAATGATGGAGGCCATTGTGTTCTTGGGGACCTTCAATGCAGCAAACATTTTTAGGTACCCTTCCCCACATCTCTGCCTCGACACAATCCTGTCTCGGAGCTCTACGGACAATTCCTTCGACCTCATGGCTTGGTTTATACTCTGACATATACTGTCAACTGTGGGACCTTATATAGACAGGTGTGTGCCTTTCCAAATCATGTCCAATCAATTGGATTTACCACAGGTGGACTCCAAGTTGTAGAAACATCTCAAGGATGATTAACAGAAACAGGATGCACCTGAGCTCAATTTCGAGTCTCATAGCAAAGGGTTTGAATACTTATGTAAATATGGTATTTCTGTTTAAAAAATTTTAATACATTTGCAAACATTTCTACAAACGAGTTTTCGCTTTGTCATTATGGGTTATTGTGTGTAGATTGAGGAAAACAAATAATTTAATCAATTTTAGAATAAGGCTCCAATGTAACAACATTTGGAAAAAGTCAAGGGGTCTGAATACTTTCCAAATGCATTGTATTATATTATTTTATAACAAATGCGCTTTCTCCCATGTTGGATAGTGGTCGCTGACCGCTGTTCTGAAACGCATCAGTGCGCTGTTGAAGTGGCGCCTTTTCCTAAACCATGTTGCTATTTGCATAATAGCATAGTTAATCAGCATGTTGGTGTTGACAACAATGCGGCGGAGGCAGCAGCAGTTAGGAGACGAGAAAACAGCCCTTGCCTTAATTGTCTAAGAAAATTGAAGAGAGAGGAAACCCCAACTTAATTAGGTCTATAATCAATAGCCTAACTGTTAATGTGCCTGGCTTTATAAATCATCCATCTCAATTATAACTACAGAAATAAGACATCCTGCTTCTGTTGCCTGTTTGAGTGTTTTTTTAATAGCCTACTGATTCCGTGAGCACCAAGCCTCACGCAATAATGCTGTTTTTAATCTTTGCTTTACTTTTTGTTAGACCAGCCTCTCTGATATTATTTATAATTGGAACAGTGTAAACACTAAATCAAATAGTCAGAAATTATATTTATTATAATAATAAAAATAACCCTCTTTTTTCCATGCGCTCCTTCTTATTGTTATTATTATTATGATCATCATTATAATAACTAATTTCATTTATCATTAGTAGGCTTAGTATAGCAGCCTTGTATAACCAACATCGAGCAGTAGGCCTAAGATTGCATACTGTTTAGTCTTAATACCGTAACTTACTTAGGCCTATATTTCAATACTTACAGTTGAAGTCGGAAGTTTACATACACTTAGGTTGGAGTCATTAAAACTTGTTTTTCAACCACTCCACAAATTTCTTGTTAACAAACTATAGTTTTGGCAAGTCGGTTAGGACATCTACTTTGTGCATGACACAAGTAATCTTTCCAACAATTGTTTACAGACAGATTATTTCACTTATAATTCACTGTATCACAATTCCAGTGGGTCAGAGGATTACATACACTAAGTTGACGGTGCCTTTAAACAGCTTGGAAAATTCCAGAAAATTATGTCATGGCTTTAGAAGCTTCTGATAGGCTAATTGACATCATTTTAGTCAATTGTAGACCTCCACAAGTCTGGTTCATCCTTGGGAGCAATTTCCAAACGCCTGAAGGTACCACGTTCATCTGTACAAACAATAATATGCAAGTATAAACACCATGGGACCACGCTGAGGAAGGAGACTCATTCTGTCTCCTAGAGATGAACGTACTTTGGTGCCAAAAGTGCAAATCAAACCCAGAACAACAGCAAAGGACCTTGTGAAGATGCTGGAGGAAACAGGTACAAAAGTATCTATATCCACAGTAATACGAGTCCTATATCGACATAACCTGAAAGGCTGCTCAGGAAGGAAGAAGCCACTGCTAAAAAAAGCCAGACTACGGTTTGCAACTGCACATGGGGACAAAGATTGTACTTTTTGGAGAAATGTCCTCTGGTCTGATTTAAACAAAAATAGAACGGTTTGCCCATAATGACCATCGTAATGTTTGGAGGAAAAAGGGGGTTGCTTGCAAGCCGAAGAACACCATCCCAACCGTGAAGCACGGGGGTGGCATCATCATACTGTGGGGGTGCTTTGCTGCAGGAGGGACTGGTGCACTTCACAAAATAGATGGCATCATGAGGAAGGAAAATTATGTGGATATATTGAAGCAACATCTCAAGACATCAGTCAGGAAGTTAACGCTTGGTCGCAAATGGGTCTTCCAAATGGACAATGACCCCAAGCATACTTCCAAAGTTGTGCCAAAATGGCTTAAGGACAACAAAGTCAAGGTATTGGTGTGGCCATCACAAATCCCTGACCTCAATCCTATAGAAAATGTGTGGGCAGAACTGAAAAAGTGTGTGCGAGCAAGGAGGCCTACAAACCTGACTCAGTTACACCAACTCTGTGAGGAGGATTGGCCAAAATTCACCCATCTTATTGTGGGAAGCTTGTGGAAGGCTACCCGAAACATTTGACCCAAGTTAAACTATTTAAAGGTAATGCTACCAAATACTAATTGAATGTATGCAAACTTCTGACCCACTGGGAATGTGATGAAAGAAATAAAAGCTGAAATAGATCATTCTCTCTACTATTATTCTGACATTTCACATTCTTAAAATAAAGTGGTGATCCTAACTGACCTAAAACAGGGCATTTTTACTAAGATGAAATGTCAGGAATTGTGAAAACTGAGTTTAAATGTATTTGGCTAAGGTGTATGTAAACTTCCGACTTCAACTCTATATAGGCTACTGTATCAATCAATAATGTTTTCGTTCATGTCATCACACAGCGTACGAGTCATTCATGATGTGAAATGCAATCAAGTATTTGTTTTAAAATAAAATAGCAAAGCGACCATTGAATAATTGGTGTAAACAATAAATAGGCAGAAACCGTTCCATTTAGGAAATTGCATTCACGACTGAATGCGACTGTTTTTGGTGTTTGCTATAATAAAGGCTTTCCAAACTTTTTTACAACAGACTCTCTGGTGCACTTACCATTTATTTCATGTTGTTTACATTGTTTCAAACGGTCAGAAACAGCACCTGTTTGGCACACATAATATGCATGCAGTGCTTGCTCCATACCTTATTTTTGTTAATCTCCAGTATTTTCCAAAACTAGTCAAATTTATTCTACTGAGTTCCCCTTTACCTCCTGAGCAACCAGCAAACATTCCCCCGTTTCGAGTTTCACGCCCTCTGCATCCATTTTGCTGTCACAAAATGGTGTTCAGAGTTTGTTATAACCAATGTATTGATGTGATACTGATGGGCTATAGGTCAGGCCCTATTTGTCACGTGCATGTTACGCATACATGTCACGTGAAGAGAGCAAGGGTTGAGGGAATAGGGAATGTTTTTCCTAAACAAATTAGGGATTTCGGTAACTCAACTTTTCAGTCAAATAGCAGTAATTATGTTGCAGCTTCAACAACACAGACAGCGCGATACACACTGTTGATGTTCTGTAGTAGTCGCTGCAGCAGGGAGGAGATCGAGACCGGGTGCTAGTCACACAGTCACTAGCTGTCTTTTTTTTTTTATACAGTGTAGCAAGTCTGAGTCAGGCCCGGCACAATCAAATCAATTGCGGTCAGAATCCCGCTAGTCATTTGTGTCTTTTAATTATTTCATCAAACAGTTTGCTTAAAGCATCAGACAAGCGCAGTGCATATAGTTGATTTGATTAAAACACACAGGATGTGTCTATATATGGGAAAATACACGTTTAAAAATGTTGACCAATCGATTGGTCGAAAGAACAGATAACTCTTGGTCGACCAATATTTTTTTGGGTTCAGGGACAGCCCTAAACCTAAAACACAAGGCCAAATACAGTATACACTAGAGTTGCTTACTAAGACTAATGTTAGTTTTGAATTAAATCGGCTTGAAAATCTATGGCAATTCTTGAAAATGGCTGTCTATCAATGATCAAAACCAACTTGTACAGTCCAGTTGTGCAAAGCTCTAAGACTTACAGCGGTAATCGCTGCCCGAAAAAACCTTCAATTAAAATAATGATTATGCCATTATACAATAGTCTAGTAGCCTATCGCATGTTACACAATAACATAAAAAATATAAACATGGATATAAGATGTCTTTGGCACATAATTGGTCTAGCCTATACAAAAAATTAACAAATTCTAGTAATCGCATTTGATTGTGGCCTGTAATGTTATGCATACTGGGTGGACTGGTTATTTTATGCTACGCTCTAAACTTTCTATCCATGAATCTGGGAGAGAACATATAGGCCTAGGCGATGCTGTTGGTTCATTGATTGTGCAGGGCGGCTTACAGAGTTGGCCTACAATGATAGTGAATTTGTATTTGATTATGAGCATATTAATAGGGAATGTTTTATATTTTCATAATTAATAGGCTGACACATTTACCTTTTAGCTACAGAATATCTCACCACTGTGCGTTTCCATCTCCCCTCTCTCCTTCATTCCTTTCTCGAGCGTGCATAGAAGAGGGGCTGTCAACAGTTTAATGAAATGTGTTTCTTTGTGAAAACATGTTACTATCGATGTTTCTGAACATATTTCACTTGGTTACCAGGCATGATTGAAATACTAACTGAAGGAAAGCGGCCTCCATTCGCTATTCGAGTGCATAAGGATGTATTTTTGCCCCTGCCCCTGTTCCTGCCCATTTGATAATGTGCCATTCTAAATCAAAACTAATTTTACATATTAGTAAAGACAATTGAGAATAGTCTGATGGGTGAAAATATGATCAGTTGAGTAGAGAACAGCGTGTGCAACCTGAGGCAAGTAACAGAGGGCAAGCTTTTTTTGTGACTTTCTCAAATCATCAATAGCCTATAGTCACATAATTTACATTTAAGTAATTTAGCAGACGCTCTTATCCAGAGCGACTTACAAATTGGTGCATTCAACTTAGGATAGCCAGTGGGACAACCACTCTTTTTTTTTATGGGGGTGGGGGTGGGGTAGATGGATTACTGTTATACTATTCCAGGTATTCCTTAAAGAGGTAGGGTTTCAAGTGTCTCCGGAAGGTGGTCAGTGACTCTGCTGTCCTGGCGTCATGGGGGAGCTTGTTCCACCATTGGGGTGCCAGAGCAGCGAATAGCATTGACTGGGCTAAGCGGGACCTCTGCTTCCGTAGAGGTAGGGGGGCTAACAGGTCAGAGGTGGATGAACGTAGTGCCCTCGTTTGGGTGTAGGGTCTGATCAGAGCCTGAAGGTAAGGAGGTGTCGTTCCCCTCACAGCTCCGTAGGCAAGCACCATGGTTTTGTAGTAGATGCGAGCTTCAACTGGAAGCCAGTGGAGTGTGCGGAGGAGCGGGGTGACATGAGGGAAGGTTGAACATCAGACAGGCTGCAGCGTTCTGGATAAGTTGAAGGGGTTTAATGGCACAGGCAGGGAGCCCAGCCAACAGCGAGTTGCAGTAATCCAGAGTGCCTGGATTAGGACCTGTGCCGCTTTCTGTGTAAGGTAGGGTCGTACTCTGCGAATGTTGTAGAGCATGAACCTGCAGGATCGGGTCACTACTTTGATGTTAGCAGAGAACGACAGGGTGTTGTCCAGGGTCACGCCAAGGTTCTTTGCACTCTGGGAGGAGGACACAATGGAGCATCATGAAGCCCATATGTTTTGATTTCTAAGACATTCTAAGGTTTGTATCATTCACAACTAAAGTTGCCAAATAACTCTAAATCTAGCGTATAGGACCTGTTTCAAATGATCACTTTTACACTCAGCATAGCCACTTTATATGCACACTCACACTCACTCTGGAGTGGGATAAATATCCATTCTATTTTATTCAGCTAAGTTCAATTATATTTTACTTACTATAAAATCATATAATATAAAATAATGGCACTCAAATTCTGTTCTACTGAAATATATTTTATTCATATCATAATGTTTCTTTAGACATGTCTAAAATAAATAATGGATTTATTGTGATGGTGTGTATTAAATCGTTTTATTAGACTTTTTTTCAATATAGATGTTCCAAAGGCGGCATCAGTGGCTTGTTTGCGTGGAGGCCTGGAGATGCTAAATGTTTTTATGTTAATTAACGGTCAATTACCGTGAGACCGGCAGTCATTTGTATGACAATAACCGGCTGTCAAAATGTCATGACCGCCACAGTCCTGCTTGAGATGTGTATAACTAAAACGTTTATGTAGATCAAACATTGAGGTCAAAAACGAATGTTGTGTATTTCCCCACTCCCAGGTTGGGCTTGACTACACCAACCCCTACCTCAGCCCCTTCAGAGAGTTCCAGCGCTGGAAGCACCACCCCTTCGTTTCCAAGACCCTGGAGGGAGGGAACAGAATCGCCTACGGAGCCAGGGCTCTCAACGAGGGAGGCTATCAGGTGTGTGTGTCATTATGTGTATATTATTTATGAATTACTCAAAAGTGTGTGAGTGTGTGGCTCTGTGCATGCTTCAGTGACAATAGCTGTTTCCATGAACTTTTTTTGTTGTTGTCGATATTTAGAAAGTTTGCATAGAAAAAAGATGTGACAATTGCCTGCTACGGTGCATTTCCATTGGACTGTCTTGTGTCAATAAAAACAACTGGACTTAATTATGTAACACGTAATGACGTCACACCCCAAACATTTTAAATCAATCTAGTGTTGCATCAAAATGAAGTGCTTGAAATGTTTCCATTATTCATTTAGGCAAATTGACAGCCTGTATGCCCTCCTACCTATCTGTTTCATGTCTCAGGTATATCCCCCAAAAGCCAGCATGGATAGAATGCAAGAATTGACTAATATCCTCCATATTCTAATAAATATCATGTGCCAACTTGCATTCCTGTAGATCTGAAATAATTGGATGGTGAAACTTTCCAGCCAACCAGAAAAGCAAGGTGAAGCAATTCAGGCATTCTTGAAAATCAGGACAATCCGTATCCTACAAATAAACACTATTTTTATATTTGAAAAAATTGATTTTAACAAGCAGTAGCATTTACAATTAAATGTGGAGTGGAGCTTTATAGTTACGTGATGACATCACATGCCACACGTACCTTCAGAATTATTAATCAGACATCCATTTATTTTTAAAAAACAGTTTCCATCAGTTGTCGCAATAAAGAACGTTTGACAAAATAAAAATTCATCCCTGTCGAACATATGAAAATGTTGATTTTTACAACGTTTCTCCTATAGCTGCCAAAATGTTTTTTTTTTGTGACATTGCTTTTGTCTAATAAACCTGGGTCAATGGAAACCTGGCTACTGTGTGTCTTGGCAGCAAAAATGGGAAATGCATCAATCTTATGTCAGGTTTTCAACTGGTTCTGAGGTTCTTATTCAGTGAAAGCATTTGAGCATTACAACCTTCAAGATTACAATCTTTACCTGTCTGTTCCTCCATCCAGTGCCTACCTAAAGTGACATTCCCTGGGGGGATGCTTATCGGATGCAGTCCGGGCTTCATGAACGTACCAAAGATTAAAGGCACCCACACGGCCATGAAGAGCGGCATGCTGGCCGCAGAGGCCATCTTCCCCAAAGTCACAGCCGAGGACCTAGCATCTGAAACGGCAGGTAACCTATCTGCCGGGGGGGTGACACTTTTGGGGGTCTTGGTGCAAAACGGAGAACACCATTGTGAGAGTCTCATCTTTCCATAGAGAGGTCATTATTTTTTAGGCCAAACCATTCGGACGCTACAGACGTTTTTGTGAGAAGACCAATTTTCAGGATGTCTCCTGGTCTGACAAACACCACTGTAACTCTGCCACCTTCCACCTCAGATGTGGAAGGCCCTCATTAGCGGATGTGGTGGATTAAGACGCAGCCCATACAAAAAAAAACATCTCTAGCTTAAACAGACAGATTTTGATGGGGATTTTTTTATTATGTTAATTACATTGACGCACAGGGACTCTTAAGGATTAAGCCAGACTAAAACCCTTTCCTTTGATTAAATGCTCCCTCTCTCTCACACACACACACACACACCTCATTACTTTTGAGGTGAAGCCTAAGGCACATTACTACACTATAAAATATGCACTTAATATACTATTAAAGAGTGTAATTTGTTGAAAGACTCTTATTACTAATGCCAATAGGAGAAAATTGATGTTAATTGCTTCTGTACAGTGTCATTTTTGTATGTACATGAATGGAATTTTTACTCAAAGTTAATGAGCAGTTTAATTTGTGGGTGATATTCTAACATCTTCTGCTTTACAATTAGACTTATTATTATTATTATCTGATGTCCTCCAGGACTTCATGTACCTGAATATGAGGACAATTTGAAGAAGTCTTGGATCTGGAAAGAGTTGTATGCAGTGAGGAACATCAGGCCCTCGTTCCACAACTACTTTGGACTGTATGGGGGCATGGTCTACACCGGTGTCTTCTATTGGATACTCAGAGGGAAGGAGCCATGGACACTGAAACATGCAGGTACAAATAATGAGGTTGTTTTGTATGATACATTCATCAGATGGTTATATATCAACTCTTTAAATGTGAGCAAAAGTAGTGCCCTCTCCTGGATGCTAGTCTTTCTCTTTAAGCAAAGTTGTTATTGGACAAGGCAACAACAAAATCATGCTCTCAGGCTGAGTGACTTGCTTCAGGGAACAAACCAAGGTTGTTTTATCTGGCCTGCCCTGTAACCAACTGAGGTTTGATAACTTCCAACACTTTTACCCTAGGCTTGGACTCGGACCAGCTGAAACCGGCTAAGGAGTGCACGCCCATCGAGTACCCCAAGCCCGACGGCAAGCTGAGCTTCGACCTGCTCTCCTCAGTGGCTCTGAGTGGCACCAACCACGAGGGGGACCAGCCCCCCCACCTCACCCTGAAGGACGACAGCGTCCCTGTGGCCAACAACCTGGCCATCTACGACGGGCCCGAGCAGCGCTTCTGTCCAGCAGGTACCACTGATGCACAATTACACATCCATCCTTCGTTCATACACCATAGGAACATCACTTACATCTTAAAAGGTTGGATATGTATGAGCAATATGTTAAGGGTTGTATTCCAGGTTGTCTTCTATTGGAGTAGTGCTTTGCCTCTCTGAAGATTTCTGTGTAATATTACTGTGGTGCCTCCAGGCGTTGTGAGATACACTAAAAGTATGTGGACACCCCCTTCAAATTACTGGGTTCAGAAATTTCAGTCACACCCGTTGCTGATGAGTGTATACAATCGAGCACACAGCCATGCAATCTACATAGACAAACATTGGCAGAAGAATGGCCTTACTGAAGAGCTCAGTGACCATGCGCAATGCCAAGCGTTGGCTGGAGTGGTGGAAAGCTATGCCCATGATTTTGGAATGAGATGTTTAACGAGCAGGTGTCCACATGCCTTTGGCCAGGTAGTGTATGATAATCTGTGTAGCACGACTGCAATGAGGACGACCTGGAACGTGCCCAAAAACTCCAAGTAGGATGTATGGGGCTAGGCCAGGGGTCTCTTTGGAATTGGATATTACCAAAGATTGTCTATTATATTGACAAGATAGACATGTGACCCCTCTAACAATGGAAATACATGTCCTCAAAGATGGAAGGCAGGCGGGAGGAGGCTAGATCAGGTGGGACCATTCTAGCCAATCAGAGGGCTAGAACGCGTGTGAATAACATGCCATAGAGATGGAGGACTCATCTTTGTATCTGTGCCATTATAGCATCTGTGGCAGCATTGTAGTCAATTTTCTTCTTCTTCATTGGCTGCTCCCAACTCATAGGAATCCCCACCCAGTTGACTACTTTAAAATGGTGGAAGCCCTATATGTCAATGTCCATGCTAAAAAGGGTTATATCCATGATGAGTCCTCAATCTATCTCTATGACAACAGGCACAACTCCGATATAAAGTAGTTTTTTTTGTTTCAAAGTTGCCGAAATGCTATGTGCATCCACTTATATCAGTGCATTCGTTACAACGTCAACATTACGAAACTTCTATTTATTACGAAACTTCTATTTGATCAAATACGTAGCATTTGACACGTAGCAAATTAGCAATACATTCTTTGTTGATCAAATTCGTCACTCATTGACCTCGATACAAAAATGCCTCACTTGGTGGGCTTATTTTCCTGGACAAATTTCAAACCTCTCGCTTCGCCTCTTCCTCTCTGATATTACTGTCCACTGAAAGACCTGACCCTCTATCAATAAAGTAAACCCAAGCACAGTGCACACCATTGATGCTTCCAAGTGCTGTCATTGCCTGCACAACCAGCATGACTCAAGAAATTCATATTGTTCGGCACAGCCAGGTCTCAATAATAATAATAATAATAATATGCCATTTAGCAGACGCTTTTATCCAAAGCGACTTACAGTCATGCGTGCATACATTTTTTTTTTTTTTTTGTGTATGTTTTTTTCAATAAATTATCAAAGAGTTATCTATCTGTGAAATGAACATCAAACCCAATACAGCTATAGAGGCAGAGCTGTAATAAATACAATATGATTGATTTGATATGCAGACGCTGTTAGAAATCAGTCTTCTCCAGATGTCTGGCCTAAATTACTGACCCAGAACCTGGGATTTATATTTGTGCATCTCTTTCATGGTTTTCCCATCCATACAGAATGGAACTATTGCACAATTTTTAGTACCACCCATTTAAATAGTACCACCCATTAAATACGCTGAACAAAAATATAAACGCAACATGTAAAGTGTTGGTCCCATGTTTCATGATCTGAAATAAAAGATCCCTGAAATGTTTCATACGCACAAAAAGCTTATTTCTCTCAAATGTTGTGCACATTTGTTTACATACATTTTACATTTTAGTCATTTAGCAGACGCTCTTATCCAGAGCGACTTACAGGAGCAATTAGGGTTAAGTGACTTGCTTAAGGGCACATCGACAGATTTTTCACCTAGTCGGCTCGGGGATTAGAACCAGCGACCTTTCGGTTACTGGCACAACGCTCTTACCCACTAAGCTACCTGCCGCCCTACATCCCTATTAGTGAGCATTTCTCGTTTGCCAAGATAATCCATCCCCCTGACAGGTGTGGCATATCAAGAAGCTGATTAAACAACATATAATTACACAGGTGCACCTTGTGCTGGGGACAATAAAAGGCTACTCTAAAATGTGCAGTTTGGTCACACAACACAATGCCACAGATGTCTCAAGTTTTGAGGGAGCGTGCAATTTGCATGCTGACTGCAGGAATGTCCACCAGAGCTATTTCCAGAGAATTTAATATTCATTTCTCCACCATACGCTGCCTCCCACTTAGTTTTAGAGAATTTGGCAGTATGTCCAACCGGCCTTACAACGCAGACCACGTGTAAGCACTCCAGCCCAGGGCCTCCACATCAGGTTTCCTTCACCTGCAGGATGGTCTGAGACCAGCCACCCGGACAGCAGATTAAACTGTGGGTTTGCACAAGCGAAGAATTTCTGCACAAACTGTCAGAAACTGTCTCAGGGAAGTTAATCAGCTTGCTCGTTGTAGTCACCAGGATCTTGACCTGACTGCAGTTTGGCGTCGTTACCGACTTTAGTGGGGAAATGTTCACATTCGATGGCCACTGGCACGCTGAAGAAGTGTGCTCTTCACAGATGAATCCCGCTTTCAACTGTACCAGGCAGATGGCAGACGTGTGTGCAAGCGGTTTGCTGATGTCAATGTTGTGAACAGAGTGCCCCGTGGTGGTGGGATTATGGTGTGGGCAGGCATAAGCTACAGACAACAAACACAATTGCATTTTATCTATGTCAATTTGAAAGCACAGAGATCTTGTGATGAGATCCTAGGCCCATTGTCGTGCTATTCATCTGCCGCTTTCACCTCATGTTTCAACATGATAATGCACGTCCCCATGTCGCAAGGATCTGTACACAATTCCTGGAAGCTGAAAATGTCCCAGTTCTTCCATGGCCTGCACACTCACCAGACATTTCACCCATTGAGCATGTTTGGGATGCTCTGGATCAACGAGTACGACAGTGTGTTCCAGTTCCTACCAATATCCAGCAACTTCGCACAGCCACAGTCAACAGCCTGATCAACTCTATGCGAAAGAGATGTCACGCTGCATGAGGCAAATGGTGGTCACTAGATACTGACTGATTTTCTGATCTTAATTTTTTTAAGTTATCTGTGACCAACAGATGCATATCTGTATTCCCAGTCATGTGAAATCCATAGTTTAGGGCCTAATGATTTTATTTCAATTGACTGATTTCCTTATATGAATTATAACTCTGTAAAATCTTTGAAATTGTTGCATGTTGCGTTTATTTTTGTTCTGTGTAGTACCACCCATTTACACTGAACAAAATTGAACATATCTGGGATCTTTTATTTCAGCTCATGAAACCAACACTTTACATGTTGCATTTATATTTTTGTTCATTGTAAATAGTACCACCATTTAAATTTCATTTAGTTACCTAATGGATAATGAGTAGTGACACACATATTGACTGTCTGGGAGGGCTGCACTGCACACACCTGTCGTGATTCTGGCAGCATAGCTATCATTTCTCACATCCGTATTAACCTATGTAGGATCAGTGTGGGTTCGTTTCCCACGGGGGGCCAGTATGGAAAAAAAAGAATATGTCTGCATTCACTAACTGTCAGTCGCTCTGGATAAGAGTGTCTGCTAAATGACTTAAATGTAAAATGAGAGTAAGTAGTGGCCTCTTCGCAAACCCAGGTTTCTTGAGAACAATCAAATATGAGTCACCACAAGAGTAGACTTACAGTAAGGTGTTAGGGTATTCATCGATTTGTCTTACTTGCTTAATGACTCTCTTCTTTCCCCCGTTCACTAGGTGTATATGAGTACGTTCCCCTCGAAACTGGAGAAGGTATGAGGTTGCAGATCAACGCTCAGAACTGCGTCCACTGCAAGACGTGCGACATCAAGGACCCCAGCCAGAACATCAACTGGGTGGTGCCCGAAGGCAGCGGAGGACCAGCCTACAATGGAATGTGATTTCCCTTCCTTTTTATTCAGACATATCATGAGGCACCAATTGTAGCAGTGAGGTCAGAGGGTGGAAACCTCAAGGGAGGTGTCTGCAAAAAAACATTCAGGGCTTGCTGCCAAGACAGCTTTTAGAATCTACTATGCTGTGTGCCTAGATATGGAACTGAATGTCACCATATTCTTTCAATACGGGCATTGTAAAGTGGTATTAAACATAAGTGGCTTTGGTAAATGTACGGTTTTTGAATAATGCAACTAAAAAGTATTTTATATATCATAAGCAGAAGAAGCTGTATTGACACGGATAGAAATCTCTTCAAAATAGACAACCTTAACCCACACTTGAATCAGTGCCTAAATTGAGGGTTATTTCATTAGCTATTGCAGTTACCATTAGCAGCAACAGTGTATGATCTGTGAGATACTGTACATAATGTCATTAGTGGGTAGAATGTATGTTGGTGAATAAACATATTTACTATGCCTCGGTGTCAACTTAATCCACACATCTCTCATTGAACATACAGGTAACATTTAATTGCATTGTACAGGTGGAATAGGCAAATTCCAGAATTTGAGTCAACCAACCACATTTCATCTTTATGGCTTATATTAAACGTTCAGACATAAATAAAGGGATATTACAGTAGTCATTCAGAGTAAACATGACAGTATCATTGACAGAATAACCCTCCAAAGAAATTAATACAGTGAAATACTTTGACAAAATGCTGACAGGGTTACGATTCCTCTTTTTAAAAAATTCAACATTTCGTTACGTGTATCCATACTTTATTTTCAGCTACCCTTGTGTGCCACTCATAAAACTTCCAACAGCCAATATGATTATACAGTCTTGGTTTTCAATTCGGACCTGTATTGTAGCTAGCTGCCTAAACGAAATAACTCATTATTGGCAAGTGTACTTTTAGGGTAGGCTTATATTATATCAAATGATTGTCTGAGATCTTCATGCAAACATTTTGGAATAGATTTGCTTCTCTTTCTCCTTTTCCTCCTTCACTTTTATCTGGACTCTCTTCATCTCGTTTTCGATCGCTGTCAAAGGATGCAAAAAGTAAATTTACTTGTCAGGCAAGGAAAACAACCTATCATGATGAAATGGCAAATCAATGTTGCACATCTGTCAAAGGGGTTTTCTAAACAAGTTTCATTTGACAAACATCATACTGCTCTAACTATTGACCATGTATTCTATAGTTAGCCTTTGGGATATTCAAAGGAACACGAGGACATATGATCCCCTGGATTGATTGTCACGTTAAAAAAGCGGTAACAACCTTTATCCTCTGGTGCAATTTCTTGAGCTTTCTTCAGATCACTCTGTAATGGAACAAGTTGAAACATTTCAGTGAGTCAACAGACAAGTCAACTTCACTGATTATAATAAATGATTCCGGCCAACTCTTTTGACGGCATCCTTTAGTGCAAATAAATGGTTCTGTGGCATTGGTTCCAGTCCAGAAAGAGCACATTTTAGTTAGGCTGGCACCAAGGCTACACATTCTGAAGTCAGAAATATGGTTGGTATGATAAGTGTTTCTTTACCATGGCTTTACTGTACTCCTTCAGTCCCTGCCAGGCCTGGGCCCTCCTGAACAGAGCCTTAGTGTTTTTCTGGTTCAACTTCAGTGCCTGAAAACAAACACACAAAATCTGACTAAAGAGTAACTGTACTAAGTTTTACACTAAAGCATTTATTTAAAATGTTTATCTACAAATGTACCTAATAATATGATACGTATCCTAAGTTGCACTCACAATCAGTTCCATAAAGACTTATAGTACTGACCACGAATGGCCTTTGAATCTTTGCCATTAATTAACAGTTGTACTGTAGCCTAGTGATGGTAGCGTGACAGGGCTTGCTTCTAGGATTTTGGCTGGCCTAAAATACTTACCTCGTCGCAGCTGTCCATGGCTTCCTGCCAGAGCTGCATCTTCAGTTTACAGGCAGCTGTGTTGAGAATGCAGCTCACTGCTGTGGGCTCCAGCTTCGCCTGGGCCTTCTCAATCGCCTGCTCGTCTCCGCCAACCGCCAGATACCTGGCAAGAGACCCGTTTCACCATTTAGTCCACACTTTGCTAGCCTGGTCCCAGATCTGTTTGCGCCATTTGGTCAACTCCTATGGTCATCGCACATTCAAATGCACGTCATGCTGTGACACACGCAGGCCTAGTACACACACAAATCACAGCTAGAGAGTGAGCCCAGGACCATGTTCCACCTGAGAGCTTTGGAATACTTCTTGATTGCAGACTGCCAGTCTTGGTTCTTGAAGAAGTTGTTCCCAATATTCTTAATATCTTCAGCAACAGACAGGACTTTGTCAACCTAACCAAAAAGACAAGTGTGAGACTTTTATGCCATTTTCACAATCACAGCAATTTATTTTTATTTTATTTAACCTTTATTTAACCAGGTAAGCCAGTTGAGAACGAGTTCTCATTTACAACTGCGACCTGGCCAAGATACAGCAAAGCAGTGCGATAAAAACAACAACACAGAGTTACATATGGGGTAAACAAAACATAAAGTCAAAAATACAACAGAAAATATATATACAGTGTGTGCGAATGTAGTAAATTATGGAGGTAAGGCAATAAATAGGCCATAGTGCAAAATAGTTACAATTTCGTATTAACACTGGAATGATAGATGTGCAAAAGATGATGTGCAAATAGAGATACTGGGGTGCAAATTAGCAAAATAAATAACAATATGGGGATGAGGTAGGTGGATGGGCTAATTACAGATGGGCTGTGTACAGGTGCAGTGATCGGTAAGCTGCTCTGACAACTGACGCCTAAAGTTAGTGAGGGAGATAAGAGTCTCCAGCTTCAGAGATTTTTGCAATTCGTTCCAGTCATTGGCAGCAGAGAACTGGAAGGAATGGCGGCCAAAGGAGGTGTTGGCTTTGGGGATGACCAGTGAGATGTACCTGCTGGAGCGCAGACTACGGGTGGGTGTTGCTATGGTGACCAGTGAGCTAAAATAAGACGGGGATTTGCCTAGCAGTGATTTATAGATGACCTGGAGCCAGTGGGTTTGGCAACGAATATGTAGTGAGTGGGGCGGCAGGTAGCTTAGTGGTTAAGAGCGTTGTGCCAGTAACCGAAAGGTCGCTGGTTCTAATCCCCGAGCCGACTAGGTGAAAATTCTGTCGATGTGCCCTTGAGCAAGGCACTTAACACTAATTGCTCCTGTAAGTCGCTCTGGATAAGAGTGTCTGCTAAATGACTAAAATGTAAATGTAAAATGTAGTGAGTGCCAGCCAACAAGAGCGTACAGGTCACAATGGTGGGTAGTATATGGGGCTTTGGTGACAAAACGGATGGCACTGTGATAGACTACATCCAATTTGCTGAGTAGAGTGTTGGAGGCTATTTTGTAAATGACATCGCCGAAGTCAAGGATCGGTAGGATAGTCAGTTTTACAAGGGCATGTTTGGCAGCATGAGTGAAGGAGGCTTTGTTGCGAAATAGGAAGCCGATTCTAGATCTAACTTTTGATTGGAGATGCTTAATGTGAGTCTGGAAGGAGAGTTTACAGTCTAACCAGACACCTAGGTATTTGTAGTTGTCCACATACTCTAGGTCAGACCCGCCGAGAGTAGTGATTCTAGTCGGGTGGGCGGGTGCAAGCAGCGTTCGGTTGAAGAACATGCATTTAGTTTTACTAGAAGGAGTGTTGTATGGCGTTGAAGCTCGTTTGGAGGTTTGTTAACACAGTGTTCAATGAAGAGCCATATGTATACAAAATGGTGTCGTCCGCATAGAGGTGGATCCGAGCGTCATCAGCAGCAAGAGCAACATCATTGATATACACAGAGAATAAAGTCGGCCCGAGAATTGAACCCTGTGGCACCCCCATAGAGACTGCCAGAGGTCCAGACAACAGGCCCTCCGATTTGACACATTGAACTCTATCTGAGAAGAAGTTGGTGAACCAGGCGAGGCAGTCATTTGAGAAACCAAGGCTATTTAGTCTGCCAATAAGAATGCGGTGGTTGACAGAGTCGAAAGCCTTGGCCAGGTCGATGAAGACGGCTGCGCAGTACTGTCTTTTATCAATTACTTTTATAATATTGTTTAGGACCTTGAGTGTGGCTGAGGTGCACCCATTACCAGCTCGGAAACCGGATTGCATAGCGGAGAAGGTACGGTGGGATTCGAAATGGTTGGTGATCTGTTTGTTAACTTGGCTTTCAAAAACTTTCGAAAGGCAGGGCAGGATGGATATAGGTCTGTAACAATTTGGATCTAGAGTGTCACCCCCTTTGAAGAGGGGGATGACCGCGGCAGCTTTCCAATCTCTGGGGATCTCAGACGTTACGAAAGAGGTTGAACAGGCTAGTAATAGGGGTTGCGACAATTTCAGTGGCTAATTTTAGAAAGAAAGGGTCCAGATTGTCTAGCCCAGCTGATTTGTAGGGGTCCAGATTTTTCAGCTCTTTCAGAACAATTCATAGTTCATTATACACTTTTTAAATTGACAGACTAAATAAATCCACATATGCTGACTGAGGTTGAATAAAGGTTAAGACTATATTCTTTGCTTATTAATACTTAGTAGTAAGAACTTAGCATGAGTATCTTGCGAGAAGCGTTCAGAGAAAAAAAAGAGGTAGGCCTACTAACATCTTTTAAGTCGACGTTGGAGTCCTCTGGGTAGTCTGGATGGGTGTCCCCTGAGCCGTCATTCAGTGCTATTGCCCAGTCCTCCCCATCTTTATGCTCACCACACTCAGCAATTACACACAGCTATGTGGAAAGAAACATCAGAGCAGAACTGTTAATACACAATGAGCATTTCACAAGTGTCACGCACTTTACAGAAAAATACTAGGTCATCTACCTGCTGCAAAACATACAGCTTGCTGCAGTTTTAATACGCCCCAATACAACCTCTGAAGACAATGTCATCACACACATTACACCAAGCTCCTACTTAATGTGGCAGTTCCTTTCACTGATTTACCTTGACAGGTGTGTCCTCGTTGGTCTCTATGGCCTCCAGTGTTTTCACCAGCCCCATCCCCTTCAAGACTTGTCCAAAGACCACGTGTTTGCCATCTAGATGAGCAGTAGGCACAGTGGTGATAAAAAACTGGGAGCCATTGGTGGCGGGTCCAGAATTGGCCATACTCAGCAAGCCCTCTTTGTCGTGCTGGAGAAGAGACAGAAACCCACATGTTTATTTAGAGATGATGAAGAAAACTGAAATTATATGTTATGATTAGGGCCAGGAGTTTTCCCTATAACTAAGGCCCAGACTTTGTACTGGTCCGGAAAATCTCCTGGCCCCAGCTATATGTTATTCCACGCCATTATGAAAATCCTTACCTTGTAATGGAAGTTCTCATCTTCAAACTTCTCCCCATAGATGCTCTCTCCTCCAGTGCCATTCTGGTTGGAGAAATCGCCTCCCTGGATCATGAATTGCTTGATGACTAAAATTGATTGACAGCGTAAAATACATGTAAGAGGTCATTATCTTACAGCAGTTTGTTACTATAAAATGGATTTACTACTGTATCATAGATGTGATCTATAATAGCTATGCATCAGTAAAAGAGGTTTCAAGGTAGTAATGTACAACAAAATGAGGGGAGGGGAAATGTAGCTACATGGCTACTGCAGATATAGCCTCAATTACATAGCTATAAACCGCTTATGAATTTGAAACGTTGGGTGTTTGGGGCAGAGTTCCACACAAACAGTGGAAAGTCATATTTACGTACTCCTGTGGAATGGACATCCTTTGAAATGGAGTGGTTTCCCTGTGGTTTTGCCAGTTCCCTTCTCACCAGTACAGAGTGCTCGAAAGTTTTCAGCAGTTTTGGGGACAACATCAGCAAACAGTTCGAACACGATTCGGCCAACTGGTGACAACAAACAAAATATGTCATGACTGTGTGGATAGCTGGTCTTGATACATGCAATTTCTAAGTACATGTAGTAACTAACTCATCAAATAAGCAGTTTAGTCCTGAACTAGATAATCGGGTAGATACTGGTGTGTTGACTATTTATGCAACACATGACAGCACGTGCTTCGAATGCAATGTATCATTGCGAATGAACGGTAACAAAGTTGTTAGGCTAACTACATTCACACAGTAAAACTAGCTAACAAGACAAGCATCTACATCTTTAAAACAGCATGCAAATTGCAATTTTTTTATTTTACATAGCTACATTGGTCGCTGCAGTTTGGCTGTGGCATAACGTTAACAATTTAAGAACACGATAGCTAGCTATGGTTAGCTAGCTTGCATGAATGAATGTGTTTTTTTCTATAAACGAACATTACCCGGTGCTGCTAGCTAGCCATTAGCCTAGTGAGTCCCAGTTGTATGACTAAACGCATTTATTAAAAATGTCCTAACCTCTTTCACCACCAATGTCTATATCAAAGAAGACACGGGGGTTTTCTTTGTTTGAAGGCTTGGTCACTGTTGTTGCGTTAGACATTTCACAAAGTGTACAATCCTAAATGTTAGCTACTTCCAAGGTACTCCCGGTTGACTGCGAGCTTCAATCGCGGATATTTTACTTCCTCTAGTTCGATGCGTTGATTCAGACGTTGCAAAACATGGACCACTGCCATCTACTGAGTTGGATGTGCAACTACAAGAACCTGTGTGAATTTTGAAGACGGTAAACTGTCCACAAAAGTATTAGCTATAGCTTTTCCAAAATGTTTATGTTTAACTAAAATATCTTATATTCCCAGTGTTCTGTCCCCATTCCTAAAGTAGTGAACCCTTTGCCTAATCCCATGCGATTCCACCACTGCTATAACCTACCTGGTTATGTCCCAAATGTGTGCATGTGAATATGTTGGCCATGTATTTGTTGAAAATACTGTACTATAATAGATAAAAACATATATATTTTAAAGGTATTAGAAAGGGTCAGCCATTAACTGGAGGCAAGATTACCACCAAATTGAAGTTGAGCTAACAACAAATTGGAAATCTCTAGTGCGATAAAGGCTCCTCTCCCAATTTATTTCAGTCAGCTATCTGAGCTAGACTTTGGGGATTGTAATGGCTTTTGCTCAGGGGATGGATTATCTTCTTCACACTTGTTATCAAAAGTTTGAATCTATGTCACAAGACAGGAAAGACCTGGATCTCAGACCTGTGGTATCCAATACTGGTGTCCGAGTCATCCTTGGTGAATTAACTTTTTTATTATCTTAGTTCCCCATGTCCAGCTATCAATATTTGAGTACTTTTAGATAAGTTATCTCCTAATGTTTTGGCAAAACTTTAGAGATTTTAAAGTGAAGCCAATGGGCTTAAGCAAATATGAATGATTTACATAAGCTGGTTTACATAAACTATACTTTAACTCTAACTGTAAGTCACTCTGGATAAGAGTGTCTACTAAATTACTCAAATGTAAAATGTAACTCCTCAGACAAAACGTGGAGATATTTTCATCCTTCTAATCAAATCCTTGTTTGAGGATTTTAAGGACTGCTAATTTACTATAAATGTTGCTGTATAACTAACTGCAAAATACACCAGTGCAGGTGTGGTAGAGTAGCTTACTTGCAGTGCTCCTAAACAATTTCAGTGAAATAGATCATGCAAATGACTCATGAGACTGTTGGATATAATGTGGTGTTTATCAGACACTTGGTCAGGTCTTCAGGACAACATTGAATCATCTTCCGTTCTTCACCCAAATTATTTCAGGGAAACTCATTTTGTAAGGCACCTGCAGCTTTTCTCTGAACGAGTAGATCTCTCTAGGAAGGGAAAAACAAAAAAAGCATTTATGAGTTGTAGGTATTTGTCAGGCAAAAATATCATAACAATCCTTAAATAATGATGTCTCTATTGAATACTGTTCACTTAAAATACTACGCACAGAAATAGTCAAGCATGATGTGTGGTTTGAATGGGTTCATTCACCGACCAGATCATGTCCTTTCATATATCACGCATTACCCTTTTGAACATTAAATGCATTTGCATCGAATTCCTCAAATGCTGTGGATATAGTTTCATAATACTTCAAAGAAGTGATATAGCAAATGAGAGGTCAGTTATACCCTGAGAACAAGGCCTATGCAGAAATAGGAGTGTGTGTACAATTGAGTTTAGTGGGTCAAATATACACTATATGACCAAGAGTATGTGGACACAAGCTCGTGGAACATCTCATTTCCAAATCATGGCCATTAATATGGAGTTGGTCCCCCCCCCCTTGCTGCTATAACAACCTCCACTCTTCTGGGAAGGCTTTCCACTAGATGTTGGAACATTGCTGCTGGGACTTGCTTCCATTCAGTCTCAAGAGCATTAGTGAGGTCGGGCACTGATTTTGAGCGATTAGGCCTGGCTCGCAGTCGGTGTTCCAATTCATCCCAAAGGTGTTCGATGGGGTTGAGGTCAGGGCTCTGTGCAGGCCAGTCAAGTTCTTCCACACCGATCTCGACAAAACATTTCTGTATGGACTTCGCTTTGTGCATGGGGGCATTGTCATGCTGAAAGAGGAAAGGGCCTTCCCCAAACTGTTGCCACAACACTGGACCCACAGAATCGTCTAGAATGTAATTGTATGCTGTAGCATTAAGATTTCCCTTCACTGGAACTAAGGGGCCTAGCCCAAACCATGAAAAACAGCCCCATACCATTATTCCTCCTCCACCAAACTTTACAGTTGGCACTATGCATTGGGGCAGGTAGCGTTCTCCTGGCATCCGCCAAACCCAGACTCATCCATCGGACTGCCAGATGGTGAAGCATAATTCCTCACTACAGAGAATGTGTTTCTACTGCTCCAGAGTTCAATGGTTGCGAGCTCTACACCAATCCAGCCGATGCTTGGCATTGCGCATGGTGATCTTAGGCTTGTGTGCTGCTGCTTGGCCATAGAAACCCATTTCTTGAAGCTCCTGACGAACAGTTCTTGTGCAGACGTTTCTTCCAGAGACAGTTTGGAACTCAGTAGTGAGTGTTGCAACCGAGGACAGACGATTTTTACGCGCTATGCGCTTCAGCAGTTGGCGGTCCCCTTCTGTGAGCTTCTGTGGCCTACATCTTCGTGGCTAAGCCGTTGTTGCTCCTAGATGTTTCCACTTCACAATAACAGCACTTACAGTTGACCGGGGAAGCCCTAGCAGGGCAGAAATTTGACAAATTGAATTGATGGAAAGGTGGCATCCTATGACGGTGAGTAAGGCCATTCTACTGCCAATGGTTGTCTATAGAGATTGCATGGCTGTATGCTCGATTTTATACACCTGTCAGCAACGGGTGTGGCTGAAATAGCCGAATCCACTAACTTGAAGGGGTGTCCACATACTTTTGTATATACAGTGCATTCGGAAAGTATTCAGACCCCTTGACTTTTTCCACATTTTGTTACATTACGGCCTTATTCTAAAATGAATTTTAAAAATGTTTTCCCTCCTCACTCTACACACAATATCCCATAATGACAAAGCTAAAACTGGTTTTTAGACATTTTTGCAAATGTATTAAAAATAAAAAACATAAATACCTTATTTACATAAGTATTCAGACCCTTTGCTATGAGACTCGAAATTGAGCTCAGATGCATCCTGTTTCCATTGATCATCCTTGAGATGTTTCTACAACTTGATTGGAGTCCACCTGTGGTAAAATCAATTGATTGGACATGATTTGGAAAGGCACACACCTGTCTATATAAGGTCCCATAGTTGATGGTGCATGTCAGAGCAAAAACCAAGCCATGAGGTCGAAGGAATTGTCCGTAGAGCTCCGAGACAGGATTGGGTCCAACCTGACAGAGCTTGAGAGGATCTGCAGAGAAGAAATTAGCCTCCTGAGTGGCGCAGTGGTCTAAGGCACTGCATCGCAGTGCTAACTGTGCCACTAGAGATCCTGGTTCGAATCCAGGCTCTGTCGCAGCCGGCCGCGACCGGGAGACTCATGGGCGGCGCATAATTGGCCCAGCGTCGTCCAGGGTAGGGGAGGGAATGGCTGGCAGGGATGTAGCTCAGTTGATAGAGCATGGCGTTTGCAATGCCAGGGTTGTGGGTTCGATTCCCAGGGGGGGCCAGTATAAAAAAATAAAAATAAATAAAATTGTATTCACTAACTGTAAGTCGCTCTGGATAAGAGCGTCTGCTAAATGACAAAAATGTAATGTAAGAATGGGAGAAACTCCCCAAATACAGGTGTGCCAAGCTTGTAGTGTCATACCCAAGAAGACTCGAAGCTGTAATCGCTGCTAAAGGTGCTTCAACAAAGTACTGAGTAAAGGGTCTGAATACTTATGTAAATGTGATTTTTCAACAAAATAAAATATATATACACTTGCAAAAATGTATAAAAACCTGTTTTTGCTTTGTCATTATGGGGTATTGTGCGTAGATTGATGAGGGGGGGGGGACAATTTATTCCATTTTAGAATAAGGCTGTAACGTAAGAAAATGTGGAAAAAGTCAAGTGGTCTGAATACTTTCCGATTGCACTGTATTACGTATACCCAGCTATGCAATGTGTCCTACATACTGGTGTTTGAAAGGAGGAAATGTAACATTCCTAGAGTTAATTACTTACTGTTGAGAAGAAAATATCTGTTGTTGTCCTGGCTGTAATTGTCATACTTGTTGTGTGCCCATGCAAGTTTGCTGCGGGCTCCGACAGATTGCTTATCTAGAAAGTGGGGCGGTGCGTGCCTACAAAAGCGGAAGTGGTGAATAATGGATGGATAACAGTGCACCTACATTCACTTAACACTCCACAAGCCTGCTGTGATGCTATCACTTTCCCATTGGAAATGTGCACAGCGAGCAGGTAAAGTGATTCTGACTGGCTGAAAATAAAATATATTCAATAAAGTATGGGTTACCACATGTGGGGCCTACCATGGGTTTTGATATCTGTGGGTGACTCTGTCCTCAAGGGCGGAGCGGAATTCAGCTCTCTACAGGAACAACATGGTCTGAGTCACTTCAAAAATTATATGTTATAACAGTTAAATGAATGGCTGAATAAAAATGTCACAAGTGATGTGGCTTTGTCTTAATACCCATGTAATGCTGTCATCAGAATGATATTATGTGTCAGAATAGGGTCATGACTCTATGACAACTTTGGGAATCGTGATTAGAGTATTATCTTCTGACAACATTCTGAGCATTGTGACACGGGACAATTGTGGCATAATTTGTTGAGAATCATATGATTACAGTTTTGCCTTATCACAAGTTTTGACCATTGTGACAGGTGAGCATTATGACTACAGTATTCTCTTATGACAACATTTTGACCATTGTGACAGGTGAGCATTATGACATCATGATTATAGTATTGTTTTATGACAACATTCTTACCATTGTCAATAATGTTACCATGAGCCATTTAAACATGCTGCACGACTTTTCAATTCAATACTCATATAGGTCTAGATAAGACAAGCTTACATTTGCTTATGTTGCATTCCCTTTATGTCATACCACAATAAAATATATGATGCAGCTAATCTACTAAATGTTCATCAAGGTCGCCTAACTCTAATGAACATCCAGCTCACCGGCTTCATTTGGGCCCCACCTTAATTTGCATACTGCTGAGCAGCGTCCTGCTGTTCAGGAGCTGGTGATATTGCATGCCCCATCCCACCCCTCCAATGTAGCACTGTTTGGGCATGGGGGGTGGGGTGCAGTAAGCAGGCCGGCACAGGTAAATCAAATCGCTTGTACCCATAGGTGACAAAGGGCCAACCCCAATGTAGCGGGGAAAGTCGATCAATCTTGCCCTGTAGTCCCCAATTCCATCTGGACCTTGTTAGAATCAACATAGAGAAATGTGGGAACCATTCATAAAATAGTAAGCAACACAGAGCCCTAATCTAAAGTAGTGCCCTTTAATTAAAGGACATTGGGTGGTACCATTTCACACAGAGTGCATTTGCCAATGAAAGGGCTGTGTCAAGTATCTCTCATCCACTCACCCCCACAGTTTATTGTCCTGACCTATCTACATGTCATTGACATCACAAAATACCAAATATGCATATCATAAAACACCCCCAATGTATAATTTAAAAAAAGGCCTCATTATAATTACACCGTGAATAAAATGGAACATACTGTAGGTTACACACAATAGCCTATGTAGCTAATAAGAAGTGATTGTTGCAACCTATTTATACAACTGCATTTAACATTCTACATTAAACCCAATAATTACGTGACACATACCGGTAAAAAGCATCATTTGTCCATAGGCTTGGGCGGGCCTTTCTTGTACCGTTGTGCTAATCTCCATTGGAACTGTTATTTTCAGACTAGATAGTTACCGCAGGACGCCCGCGAGCGATTTGTGAGCCCAGTGTGTGTGCTGGTGATGGGGTCAGTGGGCTGTTGCCATGCGACTCAAAAAAAGCGAAGTCAAATCATGACATCAGGGATCTTCAGGTCGGAAAGTTGAAACTCTAGAAAGAGGCCCGATTTCCCGACTTGAAATTCCGAGTTGGATGACCGTTGAAAACTATTTTTACCAGTCTTCTTTTTTCCCCCGGGAGTTGTCTTATGCCGCGTTCAAGTGCTAGTTGGATATAGGAAACTCGGAAATGTACGACTTGCTAACCCGTCTGTAGTTCACAGCAGGTTGGTGGCACCTTAATTGGAGAGGACGGGCACGTGGTAATGGCTAGAACAGAATAAGTGGAATGGTATCAAATACATCAAACACATGATTTCCAGGTGTTTGATGCCATTCCATTAGCGCCGTTCCGGACATCATTATGAGCCTCCATACCCTCAGCAGCCTCCTGTGTTGTAGTTATAAACGTGTCACGTTCAACCCGTTAGCAAGTCTAAAATGACCGAGTTTCCACGCTAGATGTCATACAGGGACTCAGAATATGTAGTGGGGCGTTTCAGACGTCCCCAGTGGCTGCATTACAGGTGGAGATCGGGGATATGCCATTGCAGATTAGGAGACAGCAGCTGGCAATGAATTATTAGGTCAACCTACAAGGACATGGGGTGTCTCATCCTGCGAAAGGGATTTTACAGGCATGCTGGGAACATGAGCGAAGACAGAACACAAGCTTTGGGTGGAGATGGAGATGGGACTGTATGGAAGGGAGTTTAGTCCAACGGTAGTTATTCCTGTAAATTCACCATGGCTACTCCCGCCTCCAGTAGTTGATCTAGAAGTGTTGGAGATACTACAGAAAGATAGTGAGGGTGTTGATCCATCTGATTTGTGTAAGAGACGTCTGGATACTGTGTATCAGGATTTTGTGGCCATTTACACAGATGGTTCAAAAGATCCAAGGACAGGACGTACTGGGTCAGCATTTGTTGTGCAGGAATGTGGGGTGGAAGTCAGGAAACGTATTACAGATCATCTGGCTGTATATACAGCGGAGCTAAAGGCCATACTGTTGGCCTTGCAGTGGGGGGAGGAAGTCAAACAAGACAGAGGAGTTATTTGCTCTGATTAATGTGCAGTGTTAATGAGTATCCAGTCCATTAGCTCACGTAGCAGACAATACCTGCTTTATGAGGTGCTACAAACCCATGGCAGGATTAAACAGATGGGTATACAGATAAGATTTACTTGGGTCCCAGCCCATGTCGGGGTGGAGGGGAACGAGGCAGTAGATGAACAGGCTAAACAAGCAATTAGTAGTGGGGATGTTGATGTTGAAGTTTCAATGAGCAAGGCAGAGGCAAAAAGACTGATATATACAGTGATGGTGCAGAGATGGCAGGAGCAGTGGAATAGAGATTATACGGGAAGGCATTTATTTCAAGTACAGAGGAAGGGGAGGGGAGTACGGCAGGAAGGAACAGAAGAGAGGAGGCTATTTTTACAAGATTAAGGGTGGGACACAGCCAGTTGAATAAGACATTAAATGTGATAGGAAAGCATCCAACAGGAAAGTGTGATTATTGTCAGGAAACAGACCGTGGAGCATGTATTGCTACAGTGTGGGCAGTATCAGAGGGAAAGAGAGAGGATGAGATTTAGTATGAGGGAGAAGGGGATACAGGAAATTAGTTTGAAGAGCATATTGAGTAGAACGTCATTAGATATATTCTCAAATATTTTGTTATCTTTTTTAAGAGCAACGGGGCTGGCAGGTAGGATTTAGTTTCTCCTTGTATCTGGCCCACACTCCAGTACAATAGGTGGCGGTAATGCACCATAACGTTGGATGCCAACCGCCGATAAATCCCACTGAAGAAGAAGAAGAAGAAAAAGAAAAAGAAGAAGAAGAAGAAGAAGAAGAAGAAGAAGAAGAAGAAGAAGAAGAAGAAGAAGAAGAAGAAGAAGACCGAGTTTCCTAGTTCCGACTAGCACATGAATGCGGCGTTAAACGCGCTGAAGTCGGAAGTCGGAGATTTCCCAGTTCTTCTGAACTTCTCCAAAATTACAAAATATAAATGTACCATATTTTTCTTGAATAGAAGAGCTTAAATAGCACTGAAGCATGTCAAATATAACACGTGGTTAGAATATAATAGAAGGAAATAGAATATAATTAAATGGAATTGAATATAACTTTTTCCCATTTCCACAGTTTATATTTTCCTCCATAGATCAAAGCATAATGAAATTCCAGTCAAATAGAGCTTCATGTTGTCAATAAATAGGCCTAAAATATATATAGCATATATATTGGTCCATAACAATTTATTGTTCCCAAATGTGCATATAAGTATGTGCCCCTTCGGTAGCCTATCTGGGTGTTTTATTCCAGTTTCTGTCATTGGATGGCGACAAAGGATAGCTTTGTAGGCCACAATGCATTGTCCCCCGGATCAATTTTTGTAAATGGGCTCGCCCATGAGCTTCCACTTGTGTCAGTCACCATGGTGGCATACAGCAGAAAGCTGTGGCGGTGGACCCATCGTTACTTTTAAAACTATCATAATGATTTTTTTTAAAGGTTGCCTTTCTACATCTATAACGTTAGGTTTATTATTTAAAAAATGGACAATCGGTTATTGTCAGGATAGATTCCTACTTTTTTCCTTTGAAGGCGGATACATGGAATTGTGGCAAACGCAAGAATGCTGAAGATCCACGGATTGGCTTTTAGTGTCGGTTTAGATAAAGGAAGCGTTTTTCCATAATACAAATTGTACAGCAACAAATATACTGTGAGTTGGATTCTGGATTCTTCGAGCCGCGCCTTGATAACACGTTTTTTTGTTGGGACCGGTGGCAGCCTTCTGGTATCGGTTTGGGGACAGAAGAAACCCCGAGGCTCACATTGTGGCCTGGCCGGGGGGACTAATTAACCATCTTTAGACCACTGGAGTTCTCTTAGTGGATAACAAAGTGGGAACAAAGCTTGTGGCTTGGTCTGTGCATATCCACACAGCGAATATTTGAAAATTGTCAACAGGATAAGCAATTTAATTGTTTTTAACACGTCTTCAAAACAATGGCGTCTTATGTGGATAACAGTTTTCGTCAAGCTGTGATGATGAATCCGGCAGAAAGAACTCAACAGGTCAGCATAATTACTTGATTAGCCTTCAGTGATGCTTATCTCGATGTTGTAAAAGTAATTTGTGAAACCTCTCTACTACTGTCACACAGTGTTCTATAATTGCCCGTTGCCACTCCTTCTACATTGTTACATTCTTTCTTTCTGCATTACTGTTGCCATGCGGCTACAGTGTTACGTATCCTGACTACATCCCGGTAAAGCTCTATCATTGGGAGATCATCTCCAGCTACTTTATATAACAGGACCTGATAGTAACCCAGCCATTTATGTCTCGAACAAATTCAGACTTCAAAGCACATCAGAGCCCACGTTTCCTGTATTTTCCAAACGGCAATGTAAACATAGGCTACATTGTTTTCCAGACAGTGAAATAGGCTACGAATTGGTTACATTTACCCATGCAATTGTATATTGCAAGGGTAATTATTTCAGTACATTCCAACCATTAGGCAATGGGCCCTGGCGCCCTGCGGTTTGTTAGCAGCAAGGGATACGCACAATAGCCTAGAGAATCGATAGCTCACCACTTCAAATAGTGAGCGAGGTGATAGTGACACTGCCACATGCTGATGTATCTGACATTGAGGAAACAATTAAAACGTCTGTCACGTGTTGTCATTGATGGCTCGTTAACCGTGTGCTAGTAGGTCAACACATTTCATGAAGTTTCAAAGTGGAGCATACCATTCTAGTCATCTGTGGTTGTACTACATACCATTAAATGAATATGGCATCATGCCTGTCGCTCTCATCTCCATAGTTCTTCAGGAAACAGCGTTGTTTTTTATAGACATGTCACACTACACATATTGGTGTGTCAATGTCTGATGTTGTTTACATCAGCCGTCAACTAAACCGTCATATTCTATCCACATTCTGTCCATAATGTCTATACAGCCAGTGCATTCGGAAAGTATTCAGACTCCTTGACTTTTTCCACATTTTGTTAAGTTACAGCCTTATTCTAAAATGGATTAAATACAACATCAATCAATCTACACACAATACTCCATAATGACAAAACGAAAACAGGTTTTTAGAAATGTTTACACATTTATAAAAAATAAACAAAAACCTTATTTACATAAGTAGTCAGACCCATTGCTACGAGACTTGAAATTGAGCTCATGTGTATCCTGTTTCCATTGATCATCCTTGAGACGTTTCTACAATTTGATTGGAGTCCACCTGTGGTAAATTCAAATGATTGGACAGGATGTAGAAAGGCACACACCTGTCTATATAAGGTCCCGCAGTTGACAGTGCATGTCAGAGCAAAAACCAAGCCATGAGGTCGAAGGAATT